GTTTAGTGATAGGTGATCCACGTCGACCGACAACGGCTCATGCTTATTCGAGTCGCTATCGTCTAGTGGTTAGGACGTCACGTTGTGGCCGTGACAACCCCGGTTCAAATCCGGGTAGTGACTTTGACATGTATCAAATTGTACGCTTCTTGAAGAGTTTTAGTTATAGGTGATCCACGTCGACGGACAGCAGCTCATATTTCTTTGAGTCGCTATCGTCTAGTGGTTAGGACGTCACGTTGTGGCCGTGACAACCCCGGTTCAAATCCGGGTAGTGACTTTGATATGTATCGAGTTGTACGCTTCTTGAAGAGGTTTAGTGATAGGTGATCCACGTCGACCGACAGCGGCTCATACTTCTTTGAGTCGCTATCGTCTAGTGGTTAGGACGTCACATTGTGGCCGTGACAACCCCGGTTCAGGCTATCCCAAAATGCCAACGCCAGTTCTCACAGTTTGGATTTGCTAAAGCATCACTTTCTCATGCTCACTCCACTCATCCCAGTCATTCGTCTTGTCGATACCAGCACCTCCATCAAACGACACTTCGAGGTCGTAGATGAAGCCAGGGTCATCGGGACGCACCTCACGTACAAATCACCACCAGTTGCAACTCTCGATGACTCCTCACCTGGTTTCCTCTAAAAGTTTGATCCATTTTAGCCTTCACTTCAGCGAGTTCGTCATTGTCTAGTTTGTTGAAGTCTGTCGTCTCGAACGTGCTCACAGCTACGATTCTCTGATTAATTGGGCGAGGGGCTCGATCTTTGAGTTTCTCTATAAGTCTGTGCAACTGCGACCAAGCTCAGGAAAAAGAGCACTGACTTTCTGACCTGTTCGTTCGACACCAAATGATGCGGCAGATGAGCTTTAAATCTAAGCCTGAGTTTCTGAACTACTTCAGCCGAGTCAGACGTGGTGGTAAGCCGCGGCAAAGGCACACGCCTGTGGTATAGTCTGCCGTTCAGTTTAACAAACTCAAGCACCAAGGTAGGCGTTGGGGAATAGATCAACCCGATTCGTCTAGGCCGCATACTGGACTCCTCTGCATCGAAGGCAACCATAACAGGCTTCACCAAATATTACCGAATGAGGACTATTTCAGAGTAAATTGAGGAACCCAAGATTCGAGCTTCACTGTTACTGATAAAGTTTCCGTTCGCGTATAGAAGCAAGTATAGATTTCTCCACACCAGAAACCTGTGATCCTGAGGGGACGGCTAGAGCGGCCCGTATTTGGGATGAAGACAGCCTAGGATGTGGATCGGAGTACCCTTCCGCTACGGATACCTGATGGCGAACTGAGCATGATGAAACTCAAAGTACTCCATACCCTCCGGCGTATCCTCGGTGGGACTTCCTTCACCGCGTCATTCAGGGCATCTGCCCTCGGCGACCTCGGGAAGACTATAATGTTTGTGTCAAGCTCGGCGAGGCCGATGAAATGGCGAGTAGTTTTGTCTCGAGTACTTCCCCTCAAAGCTTTCATGAAAGAATCCTCGCCACACATTATAACTGGCACCAAAACGTCGGTTGTTGAGGCAGCCAAGTCGCCGACGAGGGCATGCGCTAGAGCTTCTCGGTCCGCCCACCGCTGGCTGTTCCCCGAATACCCCGTCGCAACTTCAACTCTTCCTTCCATGCCCGACGCTCTGACACGTTCCCGTAGCAAGCATTGCCTAGTCTCTAGGTCAGTCGCTTTCGGCTTTGATGGATTGTTCTCAGTATTGGCGACCAATAGGACGGAAGTGACCAGGTTGTTGGAGAGAGCATACTCTACGATAGCCCAGTGATTCTCATGGATCGGGTCGAATGTACCAAAGAAGACCCCAACACTCTTCGTTATGTTTCCCTCGAACGTGTAGTGCTTGATGCCCTCATCCGCTAGATACTTTAACGCTACCATCCTCGAGTCGGCCTCTATCGGTGAAGCCAGCCAGTACCTACCATAACTGAGGCCTCCACCGGCAATGCACTCTCTACTATACTCACCTAACTTGACCTCGGATGAGTGTCTCATTGACATCCCCAAGCCATTGATGGAACGGACTGAACCTGGCCAGGAGGATAGATATCAGCAAGTAGTATAGCGAGCCGTGCCCTTACAATGTGCACGTCATAGGAGCCATGGGGGTGGACACATCCCTCGATGCAATAGCATCCCGGATGGTTCTTAGACTGGATTTGGCCCTTCCTCCACTGAGCCGCCCCATGCAGACAACCCAACTGCTGCATCTCAGTACAGAGTCATCTAAATCACAAACAAGAGTAGCAACGGGTGGTCGTAAGTTCATACCTGAACACGGCTGTACGAGCTTGATCTTGTTGAATAGTTGGGCCAGTCGGAAGAGTAAGCTGCCGAGCCAGACTGCTACCACAGGAGCGGCCCCCAGCTCTAACAGCAGGACGCTAGAGCCCGCGATCGTCAGAGCCTCCACGCCATCTATGGTTGATTTGATGAGCTCTTCTCTTGTTGCCGGATCGAATTGCCGAGAGAACGGGTCGACCAGTAGACTGTGGTCAGCAAGCATTTTCACGCTCACGTCAGCTTTGCCTTTGATCGCGGCGGCTTTATGGAGGGGGGAATCCCATGTAGACACGTGATCAGGGTCAACGCTGGCATGCTCTTTCAGAAGCTCCGCAATGACTGCTCGATTACGCTCATCACCGGTGAGCGAACACGCCACTGCATCGCCGGGCGATCGAGGCTGAACTGTCGGGCATTTTTCGAATCGGAGTAGCCTCTTGCGAACAAGGGCCTTGAGCTCAGTAGCATTGCGAACCAAAGGGCTGTAGACGACAGACCCAGAGTTAGGGATCTTAACATTATTGGCTTGAGTGAAGGAGGTAATCCTCCTATAGGCTCCGGGGCACTCAGAAAGCTGCTGGGTCGTTAGCGTGAACGTCAACCATTCGGTGAGGGATGGAATCCGTGGGATGCGACTCGTCGGATTTGTAACGGCTTGCATAGAGAAGGAAGCGCCTTCTGCCAGGTTCTCGCGTAGGCCTCCAAGTGCTGTATCATCCTCATGGTCATGACGCCTGTCCTCTACTGTCCCTCGACTAGCACGCCTACTGTCAACCCCTCCGAGCCGTCCGGCAGTATCAGCCGGTAAGAGCGGCTTCACCAAGGCCAAGTCAAGTTCAGGTGGTATCAACATGCGTACATAGTCGCCACTGAGACTGTTGATGGTTCTCTGCTTCTTAGGATAGGGCTGTGGATCTGAGTCGCCCATTTCCCGCCATCGGCTGAGCTTTCCTTTGATAGCTTCTGTTTGCTTTTCAGCCAATGTCACTGCGACCTGTCGAGCAGCACGCACAAACTCTCGTAAAGACTGGCTCGCATTCGTAGGTATCCTTAGCTCGACACGTGGATCTGCCGGAACCGTCGAGGAGCAGTTGATGCTTCGTAGATCGCATGAACTCACCTCGCACAGCAAGTGCCTTCCTCAGCCATGCGCCGTCCTCCTTTGCAAGGCCTCGGAATCCAAGGCAAACCCAGTACCTTGAATACAGCACATCTGATGGTGGTCTTAATGCAATCCATCAAAACGGATAGACATGGTTTCGAGAGAAGTGGAGAGGATAGCCTTACGTTTCGCTGTTGGCCTCCTTGCTGGCCACAGGTTTCACGACCTCTATCGTATCGAACATGAATGCTGCCAGAGACAGGGCAGCTACAGTGGCGTCATCCAGCAGGGAGTAAGCCTTCATCACAAAGGTACCGCCGGGGTGCAGTAAGCCGATGGCCAATAGGAGCTCTCGGAATATTATCGGCAAGCATAGGCTCTCTTGTCTGCACACATTGACTCGGATCACCCATTAACCTATCAGGAGTGTTACTTGTTTGGATCGTATTGAACATCCATACTCCCATCTGCAGTCACGACGTGACACTTCTCTCCAGTGGCTCGAGATCCGAACCTGGACCATCGACGACTTACCTGGGCTAAATACTCAGCCTCTCACCATCTCCACATATCCTGAGCAGCGCTCGGCTGAAGGATGTTCCCTGAACCATCCGGACCAGTCCACCTGTCGAGACTCGATGGATGAGCTGATCTAGGCACTCGTAACCCACCAACGATCCCGAGTCCGTCTATACAGGGCATCGTCATCCACCATTTGATTGAGGTCATTTGCCTCATAGTAGGGATTCAGTGAAGCTCCCAGCCACTGCCACTTCTCCACCCAATCTGGGTGAGTTATTGCTGAACAGGAAATTCGTGAACCTCCACCAAGAAGTCTCCATAACATCCGGAAAGTCGTTCGATGCTTACCCAAATATACGTTGAGGGCAGCCACGAATCCACCAGGGCATTCACAGAGGTGCATGGTACGCAAAGACTTATCAACTCCAACGTTCTCGAACATCCTCGGGCCGTAAGCCACCAGCACCTCGTAGAACTTAGCCCAGGCGTTATTCACCAGAGGCAAGTCAAAGCCCACACGGGCTCGTATCTAGACCACCAGTGATTCGCCAGTTACCGAATCCAATCTCTCTCACATCCTTAGTAAGGCCGTCTAGTGCGTTGAGTTTCTTGGAAAAAGATCGCCACTCAGCGATATCAACTGAATCTATCTCGTCCCTTGCCTTGTTCAACTCTGCACGCGCATTCACCACATTTCCGTCATCAGCGCTCACAGTGGGCCCTGAGGCTTCACGAAAAAGTACCCCCATCATCGACGAATCGTGAGGAAGTGTAGGCAGCGGCAACCGCAGCATCTGAAGGCCAGCCTCAGTCATGAGAGAAAAGCAAGCACTACATCCGATTCCATACCATACCTCCTGCTACACACAGTGTGGATGCCTATTCGCTAACTGCGTAACTGTGTCAGATCCTGTCGCTTAGATTAACGCAACACCTACTCCTGTGATGTTAGAAAACATGCTAGGATTAATACAAGTAAGGCTACAGAATAATCAGAATTGTGGTATAGAAATCATTACAACATGGGCAACAGCGAAAATGCTATATCATGATCCAAGGCACAGAGATCTATTGAGATTGGGGCTCATAGCCAAGGGTCGACGAGCCCAGCCAACGTTCGGAGTCCTCCACTGTGCACCCACGACGAGCCGAATAGTCTGCAACTTGGTCCTTATTGATTTGTCCGACTGCAAAGTACTTAGCCTGAGAGAGCCAATATGGTCGACAGGAGCCCATGGTGATTCGACGACCTTTTCATGCGCGAAGCACAGGGCGCATACACTGGCTGCTGGCATCATCATCAGGGATTCCGTCAGGACCATCTTACCCTAGAAGCAAGAACGCTGCCACCTGTCATGGAGTCACGTCTCACCCCTGACAGCTTTTCAGCATCGAGCAAACGCCAAAGCGTATCCTTCTCTCGATGATCCGGTTGCGTAGGGTAACCAGGGGCCGGCCGTATTCCCACATATTTCACCTAAAACCAACCCTTCATAGTCCACCACACTGACAGGCTCGACGTAGATTCACCTTGAGCATATCAGAGAGGGTCAGCTTCTCCTCGGGCACATAGCCCCAGAAGTCAGGATCCGTCCTAATCTTGTGGTGAATAAGCTCAGCGAACGCTTCTGCCAGTCGATCTGCCAAGGCCTCCAGCATAATGGACTTGTCGATATCATGAGTGGCATTGTACATCTACGGAGTGACAGCGGCTTCTACAGCAACAACAACTGAGCGAACAAAGTATCACTTTCTTTCGCTCTTCAACACCGATCCCGGCTTGGCAGCAGAAGAGGGCGATATGATCTGGGAGGCCAGAAGCCTCAGGAGCGATGAAGTCACCTGACCCAGGGGGTGTTTCAAGGCGTAATGTAATGGAACTACCCAACGCGAAGGTTTGGTCTTGTTCTGTGTCCAGCTGTTGTCGAATGCCATAGAAGGTCTCGAGAACCTCTCCAGAACCGTCCAGGGACAGCACCTGTCACAAAGGAGGTACCAACTCCACCACCCTGATATGATCCTCACATTGATATCATCACCAGAGCTACACGCACGGTAGACTCCAACCACAGCCGTCGCGGTAATCCACCTGTCTTGGACAACCTTTGCTAACAGTTCCTGTATTAACACACTCAACGACACGTATCCTCGCCGTTCTTGCCTGGGCGTCATCAAACAGCTTCTTGGCCTCCTCTCCAACTCTCTTGTCGTTGAATATCTTGGGGTAGTCCTTATTCGGGTATCTTCCCCTCAACTGATACACCTGAAATCAGCATGCAGCGACGTATCCACTGATTCAGTGGCACTGAAGAGTCCAACATGACAAATCTGACGAGGCTACTCAAGTCAATCCCCTTGGCTAGCGACCCTAGTAAATAGGTAATGCATAACAGAGCAAATGCTACTCGCTGTAGGAGCACCCTTCATAACAGTGTATTGTCTCTACCCCCTGGCCTGTTAGTAGCTGATGTCCGATAGACGGTACAGAAGGACCCTCCATCAGCCCTTCACATCGCGGTCCCCACCTGGAAGAATGGTGTCCAATCGATATATTCGACAAGCTCCTCCAAAGGGTACTCGTCCAGATACTTGTTGCCCAACCTCCTAGGTGCAGGAGGTGGAGGGTACTTCTCAAAGTCAATGGTATATCTATACAATTCGTCCCGTCAAATCACCCCTACCAAAACTGGTGAACATACCTCATTTTCCGAGCCTCATCCAAGGACAACCACCTCTTGTCAACTAGTGTGCTGTAGTAGTCCTCTCTTAGTCCGTCGTACTCCTCTTTGATGTCTTCCATATATTCAATCTACCACACGAACATTCAGTGTTAGAGTATATGTTCGCTATCCTCAACTGAGCTTAGGAGCTTCCCCACCAGTTGGGGTTCATATACGAAATGGTTAGAAGTGTTTAGAAACCAATAGAAATTTCAAAAATTTCCCTCAGAATTCTCATTTTGTCAATGACAAATGTAGTTGGGCATGAGCATATTTTCCAACACTGCGAACATCCCTCCTCTCCAGCCTAGTACCACTCGACTCACCCGTCTCTCTGGGTTCTGGATGAGACTGTTCACAACTACCACACTCCGGCTCGCATCCAATACGTGAACAACACCTCCCACCGGCACTGAGCCCTAAGGTACAACCACTGATGCGGGATAGCATGAACTCTCTGCGACACACCTGATCGCCAATCCTCTCACTGGCCTCATATTGCGGCCATATTTTCACTGCTGTGTGTTTTCGGCTGGTCGTGGCGCCTCCGATCAGCAGTGGGACGTCCATGCTCTCCTTACGCATCTGTTGTGCGACAAACCTACACGCACATGATACGGACTAAGTCGTTCCAAGTCCGACCTACACCATCTCGTCGAGGCTGGGTGTGATCAGACCGCTGAGGCCAATGACATCTGCCTTCTCCTCCCTAGCCCTCTTGAGTATTTGATCACAGGGTACCATAACACCAAGATCGATGACCTGCAGCAGGCGCCATTCAGCCTCTCTTGCTGCTTCAAATACAGTGCCACAGGCTTGCTATCATATATACCTACCCTGAAGTTATTGCATCCCAGAACTACACCCACGATGTTCTTGCCAATATCATGAACATCACCTGAACTGGCTAAGGTGAGTCGAGTCGTGGCGATAGGAAATCCTCGTTGCTAGAATATTCCGCCATAAGCGTTACTGCCCACGAATTGAGACTACCGATCCACGAGTACAAATCAGCAGCTCTAGCAGGAATCAGTATACGGGAGAGAGTACGATCTACCTTTGACGGTTGCCAAGAGGACTGTGCCGGCCCAGTTGGGACGGTCAGGATCTAGCCCCTCCTCCAGGGCTTTCCGCCTGTTCTCCGTCTCCATGATGGGCACCAAGTGTGCTACAGCCTTCTTCATCACCCTAGCCGACTTGATAACCTGAGCATTGACCGGTCTGAACGATAACAGGGCAGATGCCTACTTGTGGTAAAAACATTTTCCCGGACCCGAACAAGTCTCCCACTACGGACATACCCGCCATCAGCGGTCCTTCGATCACCTGAGCTCGACAACATGACTACGCCTTTCTGCAGCACAGAAAGGAAGATATGACCTCCAAGGGCCTCAGCTGCAACCCATCCAAACATTCCTGTACGTCATCAACGATGAACTTATCGATGCCCTTCACAAGGCTGTGCTCAAGTCGTTTCTCGACTCCTTCCGTCCTCCATTCTTCGACCGCTTTGACCACTAATCGACAAAGGCACTCCTTGAAAGACCAAACCACTCTCCCTCTACTGCTACCTCCACTGGCGCCACCCTTCTGAGCCTTCTTCTCTTTCAATTCACTGGCGAACTCCAATAACTTCTCTGTGGCCTCAGGACTCACGTTCATTACCACATCTTCCAAGAGCTGTCGCATATCCTCAGGTATGTCAGTGTAAATCGGCAGAGCCCCTGCATTTACCTGATGCCCGCATGTACCGGTATTTGGAGACGCCTAACCTACTATAGCCATGCTTAGGCCCTTCGGGATAGCATGATACAAGAACACGGAATGCATGGCTTCGCGGAGCTCGTTGAGGCCTCGGAATGAGAATGATAGATTCGACAAACCTACGGCCACGACTCCACCTGGGACGACGGCGCCCATAAAGAGTACCGCCGCTAGTATAGCACCCCGGGCATTTCTGCCGTACTATCTCCACAGCATCGATGAAATCCTTGCCGTAATTGTTATGCTCTTCCATCCCTAAGAACAACTCCTAGAGGAAACTATCGTGGATGGTAAAACCTCACCAGTGGCAATGGTCAGAATGTTGCAGTCGAAAATTATATCGTGGCCTTCATACCCGCACTTGGTAGTCAGGATCTTGTATGTCCGCTCACATATACGAATCTGGAGATTCAAAGACGATACCACTCCGACCGGAAACTGCCTGGGATTGCAAGTACAGGCAGCATAGCTGAAGTTTCAAGTCGCAAGCTGACTTCAAAACTACCTTGTCGTCGAAAGTCGCTGCCTGTCCTTCCTCATCGAAGGCCATGCACACGAGAGCTGCACCATACTTCCGTACCTTACAAGAAGTACGCTGAAGACCAGAGGCAGAAAAGTCTCACCAGCCTGGCATGGTAGATGAAGTCTTCCTCGCCGACCTTGAGGGAAAGCGAGTTGACTATACATCTCCCTTGGACTGCTTGAAGACCCTCCTCGATCACCTGGCCAAGGAGGAATAACAGAGAGCTGCAAAAACGGGATATTTGGCTGTAATTTTTGTCTAGAACGCAGAGTGAGAGTTCGACGGCCACTGAGCATCAGGTCCCACCAAACTCCTCAAAAAAGCCTCACACAACCATCATTATAGCCGATAATTCTGATCATACCACACCTCCACCATTTCCTCATCCCAATTACCTTGAACTTCGAGCTATCAATCATGAACGGAACACGTGCTATCGCGGGCTCAGTAACACATGACCTCATGAACCTGCCCATGGCCAGCTGCCCATCGATGAGGTCCGCATCAAAATTGAAGTCCAAGACCTGGGCGCCATTCTCGACCTGATGGCACCCGAAATCATTGTAAAGGAGCTGGCAACGAGAGCTAACCTGTTCCTTGGCAACTTCCAAGGCATCATCCCATCGACTTTGCTCGACCATCTTCTTGAACCGCAGACTCCCCATCAAATTGCATCTCTCCCCTACGTTGACAAATCCCAACTCAGGCGTGAGGTACAGCGGCTCCAGCCCAGAGAGCCTCATCACAGGGTCGCGCCGGACATGCAGCGGCCTCGGAGGAAAACTCTGAAATCACCTCTTGTGACTAGAGACCGGACACTTCGCCCGCTCTACTTTGAGACGCTCATGAACGGCCTGAATGTGGGCCGGGAAGGTACCGCAGCAGCCGCCAACCATATTAATGAGATGATCTTGCGCGTAGAGGACCAAGGACTCTCCGAATGACTCAGGTGTTTCGTCATAACCACCCATGGCATTTGGTAGGCCCGCATTAGGGTATCTGCAAGTACTAACTATCAAGCTGGAGCGCAATCCTTATTACACATGAACGTATACTGGAGCCAGCTTGGCCAGGGTCTCGAAAAAAGGCCGCATCTGAGCTGCTCCCAAGGCACAGTTGATGCCAACGCAGAGTGGTCGAGCATGCTGAATAGGAAAGAGTGACCCTAGAAGAGAGAGCAAACCATCCTACTACCATGACAGAAACTAAGAAGGCGTCAATAGTCTGCCCGGACAAAGTACGTCCACTCTGAGAGCACAGTAAGCTGAACCCATCGTTGCCATGGCGTCCCTACTTGGTCCACAATAGTCGCCGATATAATGGTAGGGAGGCGCGACTCTCGAGGATGGTCCTCGTAGTAGCAATCAATAGCGAACAGTGCTGCCTTCGCGTTGAGTGTATCGAATATGGTCTCTACCAGCAGAACATCAGACCCGCCTGCTACCAACGCATCAACCTGAACGGCTAACCGCTCGGCTCTATCCCCATCTCCTGTAGCCTACTACCACTACCTGTTCGTAATAAGCCTTCACAAGTTCATTCCAAGTCACATTCCTATAACTGGAATCCTCCACACTTGGTGACACACTCAGAGTCCTGCTAGTAGGCCCGATCGCTCCCGCCACTAGTCGTCGTCGACCCGTCTCGGCCTCCACCTATCATCACTCAGCTCTACCGCTACCCATCTCCTGCCGCTCACTTCCCGACACGCCTGCTTGGCCAACATGGCTGCCTGGAAATTGAGATCCCGAACCAGGCTCTCGCATTGGTACTCCGCCTGGGATATGGTAGTTCCGTTGAAGGTATTCGTTTCTATCAGATCCGCACCCGCATGAAGATACCTTAAAGACTCAAAACCATCACCTTCCCCTAAGTTTCCAACTACTACTCTTTATGGATCTTGACTACGAGATCCGGCCGCGTCAAACAGAGAAGATCGTTGTCGCCCTTCAGCTCCTTGGGGTGATCCTTCAATATCTCACCACGGAAATCCTCCTCCTGCAGCCGATCCGCTTGTATCCTAAAGACGCAGCCTACTACAACGCCCACAATCATGGACATCTACCTTGTGCCCATACCGCCATCGAGCAAAACAATCCTCTCAGAAAACAGCTGCCGGAGATATTCCGTCGATTCGGACTCTCCGCCCGGATGCTAAAACCAGGCATACATGCGCTAACCACGGTAGAGCTTCCAGAACCTTACATCATCATGGGATCCTATTTTGGGTGCTGTAGAGTGCCCCATACTGGACAGGTGAACTACCTGCAACTAGTACCTCTACCACGGGTTCGATATTGATAGCATTGACTCGAAACACAAAGCAGACCGAAAGTGATTAACATACTGTTGGCGTCGATACTCATAAAGATACTTCTCAAATGATGCTACTCAAACGACCACCTTCGCCTATGTGCTCTTCTTCAGAAGGCATCCTACTGGCTTCTATCATAACGTTAATAAGGGATAGATCAAAAACAGACAGCATATAGAGCAGAGTTTCGTTCACATGCCATCGCTTCGAACAGCTCATTATCTGCTGCCGCGGTCTCCTCTCGAATCGCTCCTATCCCTCCTCGAACGACGAGACCGCTCACGAGATGAAGAACGAGGACGACGATAGCGGCCTTCACGGCTGCGCGAACGGTCGTCCCTGAGAGTGAATCCACAGTGAGGTACTCTCCCTCACGATATAACCATGAAGACCAGTATTACCTCCCACGACGGTCCTTAGGGCTCGAGCCTCTCCTCCTACTAGACCTGCGCTCGGACTCGGATCTCGAGCGACTACGCCTTCTGTCACCACTCCTAGACGCACTCCTACGGCGACCGGAACTACGGCCTTCCCCAACAGGGCTGTCTGATCTCTCTAGAGCCTTTTTTGGCGGGGACATTGGCTCGACGTCATCTCCATCAGGACCAGGAGAGGGAGGTGCCTTCCCATTCTTGATAGCTGCATCTTGACTCCTGGGTGACCTATCCTTCGGGCCCTCCCTATCCACCGACATCGGACTGCGCCTTCCCCTAGGGGATCTACGACGTGACAGAGACCTGTCACTCCTCCCTCCACTGCGGGATACCGATCGCCTGCCACTCCTCGACCTAGAACGCCTACCGCTTCCTGACCTAGAACGCCTCCTCTTGCGTTCCCTTGGAGATCTATCATCATCGGGCGAGCGAGATCGACGTCTAGATCCGCTTCTAGATCTGCGGGCCGCCGCCTCGGCTGCCGCCGCCTCACGGTCCGCTCTAGCTTCCTTTCTTTCGCGTTCTTTAGCCTCCTGCTCAGCCTTCTGTTTGGCCAACATCGCATCCTCTTCTTCGATCGATGGCAAACCCAGACGCTCGCGACGCTTCGTCTCAATCTCGGGGTTGCTATGGCGATTCAGGAAAGGCCGATGTAGACCACCTTTACCTAATACCAAGAACTACACCATAAGACCGCAGCACTCATAGTACCACTACCTCTTTCCTTATCCTGTTCGACCTTCCTATGGATTCTATCCCTCACCATCTCCTCGGCATCATCCCTCCTCCTCGCATCGTAACAGAATATCAATAGTCTTGGTGGTGGCCCATCCCTCGGACGCCGACGGGCCCTATCTCTATCATCGCGCCAGCTCGAATAGCCTTTCCCCTTTCCTTTACCCCAGCCACCCTTCCCCTTACCCCACCACGGGCCATCATCCCGTACAAAGCTCTGGTCACAGCCATCCACAAAGCAGAAGGTTCCAGTACGCTCCTCGATAGATCGAAGCTCGCTGCCCTTATGCCCAGTGATAAAGCCGATATACTCCTCAGGGGTCTCGACTGTAGTGACATCCTCACGACCGTCCAACTTCACATTCACCTGAACAGGGAGTGAATATTTCCCCAGAGTGTTCGTAGAGCATGTCACGAATCGATGTGGGCCGAAGGTTTATATTTCCAAAGTTGACATGATGATGATGATGATCCAAAAACCACTTTCTAGCTTGCGACACTGTACCTCTCCTTCTCTCTGATCCAATAAAAAGTTGAGGTAATCCCTGCCACGACGCCTCTCTGCCTTGGTACCGGATATGAAAGCCGTGTAACCGATATACCTGATGACTACGCCTGAACGCTATCACACAGTAATCACCATTCGTGAGCAACAAATTCTCCCGCGTCGCTCCGCCAGAAAAAGATGAATTTACCAGTAGCACCTCCTGTGAAAGCATCTTTCCCTATTTTCGATCAGGACAAGCATCGATGTTCATTTCATTAGCCCCTCCTCATTCGTCCGACTATCCATGCTTGACACTTCTTCAGGACCACGAGGATGACGCAGAGGCGATAGACTTCGACGGTTCAGCTTTTCGGTTTGATCAGGTTCTTTTCACGAGAGGGCATCTCCTCCAATCTCAGCTCCCAGAGCTCCCGTCGGCTTCGGCCACCCTCCGCATCGCCAGCTCTCGATTTAATTCTTTCTCTTCAATTCTCATTGCGTGTTTTACATCACGAACGACTCAGACTCCACTGACAGGCTAATCGATCAGGATGGCGCGCGCGATAACACCCAAAGGAGAAACAACTCTCATTGCCTTGATTTCTCCCCTATCAACGTGTCTATACCCCAACCTACTCAATTATGGCTCCACTAGCTCTCTCAAGCTTCTTCCGTGTGGCGCCGCGCCTCCCCAAAGCATAGGTGAATTGAGCCTCGGTCCTACATAGGACAAAGCTGATGACACCGGAACAGGGGCGTCGTTCACTCTACATCTTCACCGTCGTCAGGCCAAGCTTGCCTTCATGAGTATCATCCAGATTCCATCTATCACGATGATCGAGAAAGAAGCCCGGGGACTTCGACTCAATAGCCGACATCAACTATAAAAAAAATCACATCAAACTCAACGTAAACGATGTGTGCATATCCAAAAATGATCACTGCCACTCACCTTCAACTGAGCAATACGCCTCCCACGAGTAGGTCCAAGAATAATGAGTTTCTCAATTTCATCCTGTTGGCCTCTCACTCGAGGTCCCGATCCTCCAACATCCTTATCTAGCGAATAACACCAGTCCACCACTCCCTACTACTATTACTACCTTGGAAGAACATAAGAGTCTCAGTCTCCTCCTCTAAGGCATGGAGAGTCGACCTCTCTCGACCCGTGACATACCCTATGGTGTCTTGAGGCACCTGATTGTGGCTTCAACAGAGCGATGGCTAAAGCCATCGTGCCCTACATCGATCCAGCTGCAGTCCTCACGATCCTCAGGATCCAACTCGAGAGGTTCATTCTTCTTATTAAGAAGTAGGAAACAGATATAGTCACGACCAAGCTCTCTATTGCGAGCCGGACCACGAAGTTCCACATTGGAATCACCATTTTCTGAGAAACATATCGATGCAGCAGGCCACAAATACGATGAAAAAAAGGCGGAGCGAAGCAAGAGCACTATAGCCTACCTGTGTTCACAAGCTCAATGTCGCAGTCAGCAGCATTCTCCAGTTTGCGTTTAGTACTCCCTCCTCTACCCAACACCAACGCCGCTTCCTCAGACCTAACCTTGATAACAGAGAGCCCCTCAGCTTCAGGCTCCGAGGCCGCAGACAATACTGAACTAGACCTAAACCAGACCAGCATTAACAAGGACGAACCGATGGGCATCTCACCTCGACCTAGACGACGAGGACCTAGATGCCGATCTACCACTGCTACCGGGAGTACGAGAGCGAGAACGAGCCATGATACTCAAGAGGTGAGACTACGACGTTGATGCCAATGAAAAAATCATTGGAGGTCTCTCCCAACACAACCCAGCTGTGGTGGTGAATTAAGCACTGATGACAACATTGTAAAGACAAGGACGCTGGGTCCGAACAAGTATAACGTGGGGCCAGCCGTCGAGACCCCAGTACACTATGACTCTATCACTAGTATTAGATGTATATGCTGTCTCTAATGAATAGTGTTGAGCCTCGAGGTCGTTGTGATGATATGAACAATTGATATTAAGAAGGCGTCCTGACGTTAGAGCTACGGAACAGATCAGACCGGAAAACTTCAATAAATCAATGATATGCGCAGGTCAGTTTCTGCGATCAACCGGATCGTTAGAAGGACAACCATCATCTGTGATAGTGAGGAAGTCCTTGTAAGACGGGTACTTGCTCGCATTCTTCCTCAGCACGTCCGTGATAGGGCCCAAAACACGGTTGAACTCTTCTCGACCAACCGAGAGTACCTAGCGACCCAAGAATACTCCACCTATCATCTCGGCCTTCCCATACCCGACAGCCCTTCTTATCATCAGCCGCCTTGACAGTTGCCTTGCGGGGTTCACCATGCTTGAGTAGAGCTATTTCCCCAAAGTAGTCCCCAGGTTTGGTATACCTCTTGACCTGGCATAAGATACCACAACCATCGAGAATCAGCCAGTGCTCACCTCCACTTCACCTTCCTGTCCCGATATAGACGCAATGCACTCGCCACTCTCCAAAATATAAAACCTATTACCCCTCACTCCATCACCCGACAGCATCACGTCGACTTACTTGTCTCCTGAGACATCTCCTTGTTTAACGATGACCTCCCCACTGCTGAAGACTTCGGAGGTGAGCATATCCGATAACTGTGCTAGCTCATACCTACAGAGAACCACAGTGTGACACGACTCCGAGAACCATATGTTGTAATACTTGTTCAAGTCGGCCAAGATAGGGACCTTCTCCAAGAAGGACTCATATTTCTTCTTCTTCGTATTCTCACTGGTCACGACCATCAGCTGGAAGCACTCACGATCGAGACTCCTACGGACAACACGAGTGAGCCCCTCCCTCTAGAAGACTCCTCCCTTACCACAGCTTGGCATCAGACGTCGCAGTCACAGTAGCTGCCCGTGGCGCGTTATACATCAGCGCTAGTTCACCAAAGGAAGCCCCTGGCCCGCACTCCATTACCTAGGGGGAAAACTGACTAAAAAGATGCTGAACAGTAGACAAAGACCACCTTCAAAGGCTCCTTATTGCCTCGCTTAACGAAGATATCAAATGTGCCTCGTTCCACTATATAGAAGGCATCACCAAAATCGCCCTAAACAGCTATGGACCGCGCCGACACCTGTTTCCCACCAACCTGTCGGATAATGCTCTCTCCTTGATTAACGTCCTTCCTACGCATTGCCAGTGCAATCTTCTCCAAATCAGAGTCGCGCATGTGACCAAATAGGATCTACCATACGTCTCGTCCCAACCAACAATCTCCAATCAACCTTACCTTTCGGCTGTCACCCTGGTCCGAGGACAACATGCTCTTGATAGTACTGATCTCCTCGGGTGTCTTGGGATACACAGGAGCCTGGTAGGTGTCCATCCGTTCGACCGTATAGGCCTCCGCCGATACTCCAGGTCGACGACCAGCCGATTTCTGCTCCGTAATTTTCTGTTCTTCTGCCTAAAATTCACTACCTTCATACCATACCAAGACGAACTACCTCTTCATCGTCATAATCATCAGCCAATCCCTTCCCAGAAGGAGAAGAGTCGCGTTCACTTATCGGACTACCAACGTCAATGGTCACCGGTGCTGGCGGCAACGAAGTCCCAGCAGTTGCCACTACTGTATCGGAGAACGTCGACAATACGCCTACCTGCAATGGGATGAGTCGCCAAACCAGGAGGCTGTAGTACATGTTGGCTGCCGTCGGCTGGAAGAGGGGTACCAACCTCTGAATCGGCGGCCTTATTTTTGCTGCAGAAGTGATTGCCCATGGAAAATAACTACATGCCTACCGTATCGACTTACAGTGCTCCATGGGCTCCTAGACGACCAGAGTTCGTAGAGGAACTCTCCCCCCAACACAAAGTCTCGATCAATGCCATAGTACAATGTCGAAACATTCAATGATATCCACAATAACGTTATCGTTGGGACTTAGTAGCAGGAGCACGAGCCTTCACCACTATCTCAGAGGCCCCACTCTCTTGTGCTATCCGAGAGATCGAGTGCCGTTCCAGCAAAGCCTTGGCTCGCTCGGAGACCAATGGATTCGATTTCGCTGGCAGATTGGGAGGAGGTGCCGCCGATAGCCGAGAAGGAGCCTTCACATGCCGCCATCGACAGCTACTTCCTGCCCGGCAACTACCGTGCCAGAAGAACCTGAGGGAACATCTATAGTACCCCGCGCCATGAAACCTCAACGACCCACTTGCAGACATCAGGTGGCGGTCCATCGACGCCCTCTTCAACGGCAGGCTGCTGTGTGTCGGGCAACTCGTGGGAGAAGCGGCATGAGATTCCATTACGGCAATTACCGTGAAGGTAGTACGTACATATAATGCTCTTAGGATCATGTCGGAACGGGCAGGAGGTGCCGTTACGGCACATACCTAACAACAACGGAGTTGCCTTAGTCCGACAACTTAACATCGTTTCTGACCTCGTGCGAAGAAGTGACACGCCGAAATCTCTTCGTGTGCTGTCACCGTGTGGTCATCGGGAGGGGACGGTTGTGAAGGCGCTGCTGGATCCCTCTGGCATTGAGAGGAGCCTTCGTCGGCATCCGTCTCTACCGCACCTTCTCCATCTTCCACAAATAAGGCGCCGATGGGATCTAACAGTAGTGGAGCTAACCCTCGTCAACAATCCCATCATCAACACAATCAGCGAGCCTTTGTACCGCGACAGAGTGGTTCAAAGGTCCTGAGTCGCCCTTGGACGTACTACCAGGTACTGCATTGCTGTCACAGCTGCTTCTTCTCGTGCTTTCTTCTCCGGTGAGATCAGCTCGGTACTGACAGGGTCCGAAGAACGCTTCATTGAGGAGACAGCGATGAACTAGACTAACGGGAGACAAGGGCCCTGCCTGGTCCAACATAGTATTCTCCATAGACTTGTCTGAGTCCTGCTAGGGTAAACCATGGGATTCAACGACCAGTGCGATGAACATCATCAACACTTTCGTAGAAACTATCAATAGTGACTTCTACAAGGAACAGTACTGAAAGGTCATTTGTAGGTAGGTAAGCAATAGGAGTATCCACTGTATACTCCTATTGCTTGCCTGTATACTATACAACCCCAGTTTCGACGTTGCAAGATTTGCGCCACGAAATAACGCGCGCGCCCGCCGATGAATGAGTGAACATTGTAAATTACGTAAGGTCATATGCTTTGTGGGTAGACTTGTACGTCACATGGACTAGCGTCCTAGAAATGATCTATATTGCATCGTATCACGCAGTACTATAGCTTTGGCTTTACGTTTAAGTACTACCACTCCTTGAGCAATTCGTGTTACAACATCGGCTCACTAATGCGACTCTGTCATTCACTGGCGCCACTACTTCTTCTCTTACCACCAAGTGGAACGACGATTGTTCCCGTCGAGGACTCCTCTATAGCCGTGGTCTCGTTGAGGACCAACCATCGGCCAGGAACGGGGGATCATCATGAATCCGACCTATTCGTGGTTACACGGTGGGGTCTGGCAGAGCCCAATGGACCACCTCAGTCTGATGGGTTGGTCAATGCCACTTGGATGGACACGCAAGTAAACAGGCTCGAGGTCTTCTCCTATTCCACAGTGTAGACCTTTAGGAAACGACAGGAACTGGACGTCTACTCATTGATACTAGCTATCATCAAGGAGCAACGGATCGGGATTACTTCTATGCCATGGGCCTCGCTGAAGGGTTGGTGATAACGTAGAGCTTAGGTGGGTGAAGGGAAAACTTAGGTATCTCACTTCTCGACGGGTGATACAGCATATGTACAATTTGATGTGGTCCAAGCCACGGAGGGATCCCAGGGTTTACACTTTTTTGAATTCGCAGTACATATTCATGCGAGAGCAGGTGAGGCACCGTCCATTGGTGGTAACTGGTGTTGTTAACTGCAGCTTTCTCAGGCCTCTGAGAAGCAATCAGATGATCCCTTCTGGTTTAATGTATGGATGCAGTTGGCTAGGTTGGATGGCATGATGGAAGGTCTAGTGCTTCGACAGGAGCATGCTATACGAGACAAGGAACCTGGCTATGAGTAATCAAGACTCTGCAAGGGAAGACGGCCACTGATATGACAGGTCATGGGCCTATATGCCGGTTACTTTTTTATCGCTCTATGAGCTCAATTCCAACTCGGAGATAGGGGAGATCGAGTCCGCTGTGACTACCACAGAGGTACCCGAGCAGGACCCGCTGAGGATCTCGAGACACCCTATGGCTGAGGAGACTAAATGCAGTGCATTAATTAAACTAACGCACGACGATCTTATCGTAATGCAAACAGGTTAACCATGCATGGATTAGTGGTGATAGTAGTGGTAGGTATCACACAACACGTGGACTACCTATACGGAGATGCTACGGGTCTACAAGTCATTCTCCTTCCCTCACATACAGCATTCCTCTATCAGAAGTCAACAGCTCTCTATGAGCAGCTACCCGGGGTACATCAGTTCAACGGACGACTGGGTTATTGTAATAGGAGTCTCTACTATCCCTTCCCGCTACTCGTTCGTGCTCAGACCCATGACACTCAGCTGGCTATAACAGAGACGACAACTGAGTCGATGTCCGTGAAGCTCCTAGTAGATAAAGTCCGACCATTGAGTGTGACTACTGTCATTCGGAGTGTTGTTGCTACCCTCATGGCTACCGGTGGTCGAGATTGGTAGGCGGGTGAACAATGTCGGGAGGGTGTGGTACTATCATCGTCCTCCTCAGGTACAGTACATTCTCGCGTCACAATAGTGGTACGTATAATAACCAATGGATGGTGGTGGATTTCAAGCCATTCCGTCGATGGAACCACAAGGGTAGAGTGGGGCCGATGGCAAGTGGTACCTTCTGGCTCATCGAGCAAATGCCTGGTCTTATCGTGGCCAAGACATGACAGCTAAGCTCGAAATAACGGGTATTGGGCTAGTTACAATAGGCCCTACTTCAAGGACATACAGGATGTAATAATAGAGGCACTTCTTTGAGTACTTAGACTTCACTCAAGGCTGGTGGTTACACGCGAGCGGCAGCAAAACATGGCCAATGGTACAAGTACAACGATTGTCCTAGGGCTAGACTATTCCGAGAATGGCAAGGGATGGTTAATGATACTGATAGTATGATGAGGATTATGACCTCTAATTACTGGAAGACCGACCCTCTCTCTGAGAACTGTCCCAAGAACGCTATCGCTGGCAGGTAGGTGGCTAGTGAGGGGGACTTGGGTAATCTGTGCATGACCAGCTCGTCAGGTATGATATACCATATGAGCCTCGGAATGATAGTGACTACCAAGCATGTGGTCCAGTGAAGGCATATGGATGTATTGACTGCAAGGTCACTAGTTCCTCTCTACTCTTAGAGGATAGGGTCCTCATGGTCAGCGCTCCTGCCTTTGGTCAAGGGACTGACCCCTTCCAATGGAGCAAGTATATCGGAAAGCCTGTTGCCCACTGGGGCATGCCAGACCGCTGGCAATTTCCCTGGCTTGTGTATTCGGGTAATCAAGCCGCTGGGCTCGAGTATAGCATAGGGAAGACTGCTGCTAGCCCTGAAGAGGTATTGGCGAGTGATGACAATCCTATAGGAATGTGAGAGAAGTTTTTTCAAGATCTGATAATATTACAATTCTGGAATATGAACCGCAAGCTTTTGCTCGCTTCGAGCATACACCGGTATTCCGTCAGTGAGCTACCATAATGTGGTACGCGGCATAACAGTATTGATAGAGGAAACGTTGAACTGTCTCGTAGACTACTGCTTGTATAGCAGTCAATTGATTGGCTTCTCCTCATTGTGACTAGTAGTAGTGTTGCCTCTCCGTGATATCCCTCCTGTGGAGCTCTATTAACTACAGCATTGAGTGATAGTGAGGTTGACATTTAATGAATTGGGAATGGGTGCATGTATTAGCATTCTAGTTTTGTTGTTCCTTACTACGAACTGGAAGCACACCGGCATTGCTCCTCTGGGACGCCGATAGTGCGCTGCCGGCATTACAAGCTGTTGGAATTGGCCCTTTTAGCAGACACATGCCGTGATATCAATGAGATCCCTGCTGAGCTTCTCAACTCCATATGGACGTACCTGAGTAAGCCTCGGCTTCCCATGGGTCTTCGACTGAAGACGTACGCTTCGGACGCGTATGGCGTTTGGGCCTTTGGAGGTTTGCTTCATCTCAAAGGCGAGGGCAAGATGTCGTTGGTCGGACGCTGTAATAGCAGTGTGGTGACGGTTAACTCTACAAATTTACAGCTCTCGAGAGTCCTATGCGATTTTGGGTATTTTGGACCGGTCACGAGTCAGACATTGACAACTTCTATTGGCGTCTGCACGGACGGCAAAGGAATTGCTTTCTTCAACTCCGCAGAGGCTATTTATTGGACTAATGGACTGGGCGATTCTGGTATTGTTCCAGTGACTTTGTCGTCGTCGTTGAACGGAAGGTCATCGCAAGCGTGCTTTTCGACTCGGAAACGGCGTTGGGGGTGCTTACGGTATTCCCAGGGGTTTCTATTTGCTATTGACGAGGGATCTGCCTCGGGAGGTGTAGGTGATACTATCTTCAGAATCAACAGTTATACGGGCGAATGTGACGAGATATTGCAGACTCGTTGGCGAGTGTGGTCTTTCGACGTCTACCAGTCCCCGAAATCTGGCCGTCGGCTCAGAGTAGTATATAGTTGTTTGTATCAGGATGATGGTGTCTGTGTGCGGACCCTGACGCCTGGTAGGGGCCAAGGAAGGGCTCGCATGCTACCCGTGAAATGTGTAATGGAATGTCGGTTGTTTTCTGAAGGACACCTTGCTTGTTTGGGAGGTAACTATGGCCGTACTATATCCGTAGCAGATCTCTGCACTGGAGAGGTACTATGCTCATGCGATCTGGGAATCTGGCGAGGGGTGTTGTCCATTGAAGTGGACGAGGTGTGGTATGGCAGAATATATGTCGTGAGATCGTGGGGCTCTGATGTGGACGGTGAGAAGCACTTGAAGCGCGACTTGCTCCAGCTCCAAATGGACTACCGCTGACTGGTTTCATCACGGCAGTGAGCTCATATAATAGAAGTTCTGCAACGACCTATATCATACTATCATCTCTTCGGTGTTCCTATCGAGCATCCGGCCAGGCGCTAGAGAGCATTACTTTCGTTTTGTCCATTGGGGTTTTTTGTTGATACTACCTATGAGGAAGTGTCGTTCAGTGGCTTTAGGCAATGTGCACTTCAGCAGAGCGGACCTCGTCCAGTGAGGTCGATGTGATCCTCGATGCAGTGCTCAAGAATGAGGTTACTAGGTCGGTGCAGAAGACTGGTCGTAGATGGTCACCAGTGATGGAGAAAGCGGTAGGTGTCAGTGGGCCGCTCGGTGTCGAGTTTGACTTGCTCAGATTCTGGCACTCATCTGTACGGTCTGCTTCTTCATCCGTCTATTTGCTGTTATCCGGTGAGTGTGTCCGAGAAGACTCGCTCGGTGTATTCATTCGTAGTTACGAATCCGTCATTCACGAGTTCGATCCTTACTTCAATTACCGTACTACTGAGTACCTTAGCCGTGAAGGGTTTTATGAGTTTTGGAATTGGTTCGATAACGGCAGCTGGTGAGGCTGCTGTCCACTGCCACCCCTGCCGTTGCCATTTTCCATAAAGGTACCCGCTGGGCCGTGTGATTGGTCAGACACTATACCCGGGCCTGATGACCACATCTGCGGTGTTTCACGGGGTGAGGCTGTCGACATGCCCATAGAAATTTACGCGTTCCACTTGCCAGGTTCTCAACTTTTTCGGTATATGCGTGAACGTACGTAACGTGTGCGTGTTCATGGCTCCTGTTTTCTCGGCATTCACGGCTATCGCTGCCTACCTGTTAACCAAGGAGGTCACTGGTAGGCTACCCAGGGCCGTCGATGCTGTTTGTCAGCAGTGCGGCCCCTTCCAGGACGTCCAGAGGCAGGACTATTCAGCGCCCTGTTCCTGGGTATCTGTCCGTCGTATCTGTCCCGTTCCGTGGCGGGATCGTACGATAACGAGGCGGTGGCTATCTTTGCTCTGACTAACACATTCTACGTGAGCTCTCCTTGGTGTGGTAGTGGGGACTTGGCCATTCCATCACGTTTTTGTGAAAGCTGTCAATACTGGGAGCATGCTGTGGTCGATGTTCGCGGCAGTTGCGTAAGCTGGGATGATCATGAGTTTGCTATATGCTACTTGCCGCAGTACTTTTATATGGTAGCCTCTTGGGGAGGGTATGTGTTTATCACCAACACTGTATCCATTTACATCTTCGCACTCTTGGTCCTCGGCAAATTCAACAAGAGGCATTATGTCGCGTAAGGATGGGAAAGATAATAGTCAACTCTAGTGCAATCGGCAATTTCGCGATTTCCATGTGTTGGCAATAGGAGTGTTAAAACTGCGTCTTCATGGTTGCCGTTATGAAGTCGTATTGGCACGATCAGGTACACCGTGTTTTATATAATTGGCACGATGTTTTGTCTGAACATTCCCTTCGTGAACTTCCAAGCTGTCACTTCCAGCGAGCACATGGCCTCCCACGGCATGTTCCTCATCAGCTCAGTGTACTGTCCCCCTTGCTACTGCCTTCCCCTAGGCCGTACTGGTACTCAGGTACATGCTAGTAGGATATCTCAGGAATATACTGCCAGAGGGAGCCTTTGCTGTAGTCTCAGCTCCTCTTGGTGTCTGCCATATAGACCACCTTTATCGTGCTGTTAGGTGATGGGCAAGCTGATGGTGGCAGCTACGGCTTTTGGCTTTTTGGGGCTCTTCATTTACCTAACCTTGACTGGGAGTAAGTCATTTGTTCTCTACTACTTGAATTGTACGTGTATACCCTCAGAGACTGCCTGGTCTGGTAGGAGTATGACTCTGTTGGATCCCACATATGCGTCGAAGTAAACGGTTACTGCTACCATCACAACATGGGGAGTAGTTTGGGTGTAGGTATATTCCTATTATAGCCTCAGTATCGGAACATCAACCAACGTCCTGGTCAAACTATATTATGGATCTTCATTATTTGCCATTCTTGGCCCCCATTGGCATGTACGGCAACAACACCAACTATAGTGTCTGGTTATTATAGTTCTTTGTTGCAAGGTACTACTGCATGAGACGTTTGTCTGATGGTTCCCTCTTCCTGGGTGTATACGGCATCCTAGCAGTCTACTTCTCGGGTGTCATGATCCGTCTCCTACTGGTGAGTTACTAATACCATCCTTCTGATACTTCCTAGCCCATTCGCTGTTCCCCAGGTTCTAGCCCCAGCAGCATCATGCCTCGCTGGTGTTGGCGCCTCGGTCGTGGCCTCCTCAGTGATGCCGTACTACGTGACCGATCCCTGCTTCATCTGAACTTCATCTTACAGGTACCTACGTGCATTCAATGATCATGTCGATGGTCCGAAGGCTAAGAAAGGAAGCAAGCTACCCTATGTGAGGAAGGTCACCGACTGCCGTAATGTTTTTATCCCATCTCAGATGCCCCGGTTCTTAGCTCTGGCGATTTTGGGGGTCCTCGGTTATCAATGTACCAACTACATCAAGCACTGTGTGTTCACCTCCTCCATGGCCTACAGCTCTCCAAGCATTGTTATGTCATGTGAGTCTACAGGTGTTGGTCCATGCTCTACAGTGCTAATGTATCAGATCAACTACGTGATGGTAGTCGTTTGATCCAGGATGACTTCAGAGAGGCTTACTATTGGTTACGCATGAATACCCCACAGGACAGCAAGATCCTTAGTTGGTGGGATTATGGATATCAGATTACCGTTATGGGCAATCGTACAGTAGGTCTTAACGTTGTGGATCTGCAATAGTAGGGTCGACCCTTGCAGGTATTGGTTGACAACAATACATGGAACAACACGCATATCGCCACTGTTGGCCTGGTATTGGCCTCGACTGAGGAGAACGCCGTGCCCATCCTCAGACGTCTTGATGTGGATTATGTCTTGGTACGACGATAACAACTGTTGCCTGGTCTTATTTTCGAGCCTAGGTGCTCTATGGTGGAGTTTCCCAATACTCGGGTGATGACATCAACAAGTTCCTTTGGCCGATTCGCATCGGTGCCGGGGTCTATCCCAACCTAATCCAAGAGTCAGACTTCATCGGGCCTCAAGGGTAGCTAGGCATGTTAAGTGGTTGTATGCATTCCCCTCATCTTCGTAGGTACCGGGTAGATCAAGCAGCAACTCCTAGAATGAGGAACTCGGTTATGTACAAGTTGTGTTATCATCGTGCTGCTGAGGTCTCGAGGGGTTATGACTCTGTTAGACAACAACAGATAGGTACTAGTTAGTGGATGCCGTCTTGAGATCAATGCTGATGATGTTCTCAGGCGTTCCCAATGTCAAGCCGAAGTACTTTGACGAGGTCTTCACATCAGAGAATTGGATCGTTCGTATATACAAGGTGAAGGAGCCTGCCAATAGAGGCGCTAAGGCCAAGACAAAGCGCAGTGTTGACCGCAAACATGAGTCGAGATTTGCTGACGATATGGATACTCTATTGTGAATGAGTACATCCAAAGATGTTCTATGTAGATGAGTAATGAACATAGAACAGCATATAGCCTTTAGTTGTTGTGATCGGCTATTACTTTTTTCTCGCTGGAAGTCCACCGAGCTTTTGTGTTAGTAAGAGTCAGTGGTGTTGAATAACACCGTGGTATTGTATTTGCCACTTGCAGATGGATATCTCTAACCTCTAAAGCAGTGGAGAGTCTTGCGAGAGCTCCTCTCGAAACCTTAATTGTACCACAGCGCAACATGATGATTCTGATCTGTTGAGAGGGCGAGCGCTTGAATTAGCGAATTAGGCCAAAATCGATCAAAATGGCGCAGCGCGATCGGCTCTCTACATGGAGAACTGATTTTACGCAACTCCCCTTCCTACTCAGTTGAGGTAATACGCGGGTCTTTAAGGGCGTCTCTGTTCACTCTCAGCTCTCGCGGTGTGTGTAGATGGGGTGTTGTTGTTGTCGGCGTTGACCGTCTCTCGTTGGAATCTACGTCTTCTGAGCCTCGTCGGACTGTTGTTCCCTCAGCATGGCATCTCCCAAGAGCGCCCAGAAAGGTTACGAGGAGGTTCCCGTCGAGGAGCCCCTCCATCACATCCGTATCACTCTCACCTCCAGGAACGTTAAGGCTTTGGAGAAGGGTAATGCTAGGGTTCGCCCTCCACCGTAGTGCTGCTATTGCAACTGCCATTTAGTGTGCTCCGAGTTGATGGCTGGTGCCCACGAGAACGAGCTTACTGTTGCTGGTCCCGTCCGCATGCCCACTAAGGTCCTCAAGATCACCACTCGTAAGTCCCCTAATGGAGAGGGTACTAACACGTGGGACAGGTAATGATCTTACTGGGTACAAGATGAACTCGCCAACACACCTTCATGTCAGATTCGAGATGCGTATCCACAAGCGTTTCATCGATCTCCAGGCCACCCCTAAGGTTGTGAAGGACATCACTTCCATCTTCATTGAGCCCGGTGTAGATGTTGAGGTCACCATTGCTCAGAGCTAAGCAGTGTTTTCGTTACCATTGCGGTGCCACCAAAAGCCTGTGATGTGTGGTTTCGTCTCAAGAAGGAGAGCCGCCATCACCCGCCACTGTTTGGAAGGGTATAACCGTTGCGGTGAAGTGTAATGTATTTGTTGTGTTGTATTATGTCTTATATAGCGGGAGAGCAACAGTAGTGGTGGTCATAATTCGTGATGACTGGGGACATTATAGCAGGGTCACAGGCTAAAATCCATAGTCTGGAGCACCCACGGAACACCTGGCTGAACGGTCGTCTTGGCCTCGTTGAGGAGGTAGGTCCTCCATGCGATGTAGCGATGGTACGGTAGGGATGTAGGTGCAGGAAGACGGCTTCGTTGTGTTCACTCTCAAGGAGCTGCATCCTCATCGAGGTGCTATAATACCATGCTCACTGACGTTATTGAGCTCACGAAATCAGGTAGCCTCCCGGAAGCCGAACCGCAACGTATTCGACTGCACTCTCGGAATTTGGAACCCTTCGCTGGTCCACAAACGGAGTTGGCGATGGAGGGCGATTTGGAAATCCATCAAGGTATGATCCGCCGCTATTGCTAGTACTGAGGTGTCGGGTCTATCTAAGGATGCAAGGCGCGGATCACTGGTCTGGTGAAACACAGCGGATTCAATGGCGTAGAATGTATAGTGGATAAGTGGCATATGGACAAGGAAAGGTACACTACTAGTCGAGTACCCCATGGGGCCGACAATAGATTGGAGCCCCTCTCATCTACTACTTCAATTGGTCAGGTGGATAGTACGTCTGCAAGGGTCTCCTGACAAGCGAGTACTTGTACGTGAGCGCAATCTACAGCTTGTGGACGGTCTCAAGAACGAAGACAAAGTTGCCAGCGAGTAATCCAACTCACTGCTGCTTTCCATATACCATCACTCGTGCCTCCCACAGGGTCCTGAAACCCCAGTTCTGGAAAGATGCAGTGCCAGACCCATCTGATCCACGTTCTCTTATCGGTCGCTACGTTAAAAGGACCTTTAGTGGTACTCCCGTGTATGGGAAGATCCTCCGATGGTAGTGTGGGCGCGCTGGTGATTACAGTATACCTCATTATAGGTATGGCCCTCGTCTGGGTTTCTTCATCCGATATGAAGACGGCGAAAGCGAGCACTGCTCGGTCAGTGCTGTGAGACGCATCATCATCCGGAGTCAAACTCCGGATATCTCTCTGCAAGACCGACGGCTGGCTGATCGGAAAATTGGAGAATACCCATCGAGGTGGCGACATTGTCGTACACGATCTGATTTACGACTGTGCCGTTGTTACTCAGTCCGTCATCAAGCTCATCATCAGAATCAGGAGAGGGACACTCTAGTACGGCACGGAAACGACGGTTGAGGTCGCCTCCCATAGCGAGGCCTAAGTGGGGGTAGCCCCTATCGCCTCTGTAGAGCTCTATCTCAGTGGTGTAGTGCTGCGAAAGCTCTCGACAACTGAGCGTGTCCCTAGAGCTGGGCAATGGGTGGACCGTGACGACCTCCCAGCCAAGTACAGAACTGTTCTTGATCAAAGTTGATGTCATCTCCGCTCAGGTCCGTGTATGACTTGGTCAGTGATGGGCCGATCGATAGACCCTTGTTGTTGTATAATCCACTGTTCATTAAACATAATGGTGGGGCTCAGGACAAGCACGGCAGGTAGCGCTCGCCCCGGGTGTGCGATCAGCAACAATAACATTTGCGGTACTTCAGATGGGTACGCAGTATCAAACGAGTGTTGCAGACTCGAAAACGTTATATCGTGCCAGACTGTAAGGAATCTCTATGGGACTCCTGTGCATGGGCGGACAGTGTGTCCAGTCCTGTCACCATCCCTGATGTAGACAAGACGCACCGTCGTCGAGGTGTTATCACCTATACAGGTCCTCGTTACTAACATACACTCTAAACGCTACCTCCATGATTTGGTTTCTATTGATAATTATCTACAACAACAAGTGGAGCTCAAAGACAAGCCTCTAGAGGAAATAGCCGACAGTGAGCTCCCTGTAGGACGACAGGCTCATCTCCCTCTCCTCACCATCCATCCCAGGTCGTAGATTTGTGCTCTAAACGTTGCGCCAGACTTGTCGGAAGAGCACTCACATTATGGCCAGGGGAATGCTGTATGGATCCCTATACTCTAAAGGCCGCCCTCCTCCGTTGTGGTATGATGCGGGATGCCCTTGTGGCGGTGAGGCCCTTCTGTTAGCCCCAGTTGAAGACCCTACTCAGTTAGGTCCTCTCTGGTAGTGTCCCTACAGCGTTTGTCCTGGCTCGTCCGGCATGCCATCATGTACCATATCGTGTGAAATCGGAAGATATCCACATCGAAGATGTAAGGACCGTCTCTCACAGCTTTTCCTATAGGGCCGCTGCTTCTACCAGGACATGCCCGAATTGAACGTCGTCGTCGAGTCGCCCGCCATCAAGTTCATGAACTCGCCACAGAACAAGGGTGCTAGAACTGCAGAGGGTGTGTCCATCGCTGGGATGTACGGCGCTGATGTTGCGGGAGAGGCAGTCACATATAAGTTGCCAGATGTGAAGGGTGTCGAGAGCAAGCTGATAACGATTACATGCTCAATTGTGACCGGGAGGGCTGCAGTAAGAGTTGGCATGTATACTGCCTCCCCGACCCTCTGCCGAAATCCATCCTAAAGAGGCCGGAGTTCATGTCTAGAAATTGGTAAGCAATTGGTGTCGACGTGCTTCCCTCAGTTGTTCATGATGGTGTCCTGAGGTACTGTCCAGCTTGTCTGGAGGCTCCTGGGCTCATCAAGCCGCAGGAAGCTGATGAGATGAGAGCATTCGTGGCCTCGTTAGTGGAGAACTCTGTGGATGAATCGGGCAAGTTTTGGTATGGCCACAGGATATGTTATTTCTCGGTGATAGTGATTCCCGGCATGAACCTAGCGAGCTCAGAACTGGATGATGATGCTGTGGATTCCGACATTGCTCAGTCGGACATGTCCGAGAACGCCCCTTTGATGGGTTCTGCCATGAACATCAAGCCTGGTGACGAGGTGATCCATACCCGTCGCCGTTATAGTCGAGACCTTCCTTTGCGTAGTTGTCTCTGGGCTTCTGTTTCGTCAACGCCGTTGCATACGCCATTAAGGTGGCGCAAGCGGCGGCGGTCCACGAGGGCCGTAGAATTAAATTTGCGATACTAGACGTCGACGTAAGATGACGATCTGGATAGGAGGCCGATTGTTGAAGGCTGCCACGTTAGGTCCATCATGGTAACGGTAACGAGTCTGCTTTCTATCGAGATGCGGACGTCTTGCACATGTCAATCCATCGATGGGGTAAATCCCGAGATGGTGGTATCATCATGCCGGGCACGGGGGCCCATACGGACCTTGGTGAGTGATAAACGATAACATCTCTCGAAGATTGGAAACAGGTCGGCAAGCATCTGGTGCCCGTGGGATGAACCTCAATTTCGAAATGCGAGAAGGCGATGGTGATAGGGAATACACTGATGTGGTGACCCAGATCACTCGCCCGGTCCTGGAGCAATGGAAGCCCGATATATTAGTAGGGTCCAGGTCTGCAAGGAGACTTTTGAACCTTCGTCGTGGCTCAGTTGTTGCTATGTGGTTTCGATGCGCTCGACCATTCACAGTCACAATTCAAGTTCCAGGGGCCGGGGATGGACTGTCGCTTGTCACCCGATTGGTGAGTAGACCTTCCTACAATGGCGAGACGTTCCACTATCATCAGGTATGGATGGTTGTATCCATATGTGGCCTCCTGCCTCGACCACGGTAAAGTAATATGCTGCGCGGAAGGAGGGTGAGTTCCCCATGCCCAGTAGCCTCCACCAGCCACGTCTAGATATGATCCGAAGATGACCGGTCCGGCCGGGGGTAGTCTAGTCCGCAGCATTCTGGACTATACTGAAGCTACACGTAATGCGGAAGATCTAGATAAAGCTCGTCGAGCAGCGCTGGAGTCTCTACCGAAGTGTCTCAAGCCCATAACGGACTGGGTAAGATGCTCCTCCCTCGTCGGCGCTGATGCTGGACGTGCTGAATTCTGTGTGGTTTCGGGTGGGGAAGCCCCGGCGTCATATAGACCCTTCAGGGAATGTATTGTTTCGGCTTATGATGATTGCCTTTGCATCTCTGCAGGGACGACAGCAAGTTTGGCTACGACATCTCCATACCAGAAAAGTGGTGTTCCATGAAGCTGGCTGGGCTGGCATTGACACCGAAGAGACTCTGCCTCCTCGTTCAACGGTGCCGAAAGCTTCCAACGATCAACTGTAGAAATGTTTTCATACATATACTGTGTAGTGTTCCTGAGGGGGTCACCAAATCCATGATGTTGCCACTGTTGGGAGGACTCTCGAAGTGCACTTGTATGAGCAGCAACCCATGAAAAAAACATCGTACCGAAGAAGAAACATCTGTTATTTTTCAACGGCATGCTCGTATCACTTTAACAAATTCTCCTTGCTCAGAACCCTCTGATCCAAAATTCTATCTTACAATGATTTCTCCATTCCCACGTTTATTGATCCAGGGGCACTAATAGAGCCGCTCTACCATAGCTGCAAAGTGAGGGTAAACAGGAGGCGTGACGCGAGCGGTCGAGCGACGATGACACGACTGAATCGTGTCATCGTCGCCTTAGCAGCTTAAGTAGCCTAGCAGCAATAGACCTTAGCGAGCTTCAGAGTAGGCAAACTGTGATCTGATCCGTATCTCGCGACAGAAGCTAATACTAGAAGACACATTACTAGGACACAACATAGCATGTTTTTCGGGAAAGCGCAACACGGCAAACTGTTCCACGTATAAAACAGATGGAACTCCATTGCGGTTCAGCATATGGGATCTACTGCAATTCCAGCAGTCAGTACTGGCATTCCAATTCTTCAACGGTTAGGCAGTGCAACAGTGTCAATCTTCCATGACTCAAACGAAATACAAATGCCTCGAAATTTACTAAAGAACTACGAGGAACTCTTTCGCAGAGCAGTACAACGGACGAGGGGTGATAGGCTATAGCAACGGACCTCTGTCCAAACAAATCAGTGATCTCAACTCCCTATGTTAGAGGGAATGCTGAATACATATTAACTACACATACAGTCCGGAGTCGCCGAGTCGATAAAATCCCTGCTAGAGAACCAGTGCGCGTCACTGAGAAGCGTCAGGCTCGATCACGGGGCAACTCGGCGGAATTACGAGGAGCGATTCATGTGATTACCACAATGATCACAACATGATATACGAAATAAGATTAGAAGGAACAAGATGGGCGGCGATCAGCAGAAGTTACCGAACTGAGCAACGTCTTCGCCGTTACGGGCATCGTTTACTGCAGAAATGATACCAGTAGAAATAGTGATGATCCCGCCTATAGCCACCATAGCTGCGAGCAGTAGGACAAGTATACTGAGGCGTCCTGTCTTTGCTATTAGTTTTGCTACTATGGTCTTGCCCAATAGAGCACCAGCGAATGGTAAGACGACGATCCACAAATTCGAAGCGGGAGGAAAGTAACCACCCAATGCGAATGATAGAGCCGTTCCTGAGTGAGAACTAGTGAAGCTTGCGCTCGCATCAGAGGGTTCCTAATTACTGCTGCTCGTGGCAAATATGACAACTGTGGCAGTGGCAGTAGCCTGCTTGGGGTCGAGGCCAAGGGAGAGGACAACTCGGATGATGAAAAGTGCTCCAGCTGTCCCAATGATGGAGGAGAGCAGGCCGATGACTGACAGGAAAGGATACTGACCTCGCGAACTTAGGCGCTCGGGGAATGAATGCGATACTTGAATTTGAGAATAGGAGAAGGCCTGACAGTAGCTTGTTAGAACTAAATTCGACTCCTACCGATAGTGCTAGTCATCAGGACGAGGCCGATCTTGACAGCGCCTGGGGAGCGTTCTACGGCCACATAACAAGTAGGAATGAGAAGGAGTATGACCACTTGCAGCGCCGCGAGCCCCCAAAAAGCTACCTCACAGTATGGGATTCCAACCACACCTGAAGAGGCAACCTGTAGCCCTAGTTCGAAAGTTCTATAGGACTTTGAGCGATAGGAACAACCGTCCAAGCGCCGCAGTCTATCGGAATACTACTCTGCGTGGCCGAGTTCCCTTTGAGAGGAGGGAAAATGAGGCACACTGCCCATATCAAAGCGACGATACTTGTGTACGCTATGAGCTTCTTCCTGTTTGGCATCTCCAGAAGGGGTGGGATTTCTTGAGCCACTTCTGAGGATCTACTCGAATCAGTAGAGTCCCCCACAGGGATCTGTCTTTTAGCCCGCGTCTCTGCTTTCCACAGTTTGATGCCTTTCTTGCAGGCCATGAAGCTCCCCAGACACGCGTAACAGAAATATAAAATCAGTATGAACAGTGATGGGAGCCAGGAAAAGATGTAGACGCCGATGAGCGAGCCGATGACTGTGCATGGAATGATGAGGATTACAAAGGGCCACACTATGAGGGCCTTGGACTCGTTCCTCGCACGGTATTGCTCGAAGAAGTTGAATAGAATCTGAGAGGATGGGCCTAACGATGATGCCAGGAGGTCCGCCCTTACCGCAGCTAATGAAGCTGAGGCGATCAATGCCTGGCTCAAGGCGGTTGCCTCCTTTAGAGGAACTTTGCCGATGAGTCGAAGTACCGGGACGAATAAGACGCCACCACCGATGCCCGAGGGCATGCAGAGGAGTGCGATGACGAATATGAGGGGAGCAACTGCTCCCATGTTCTCGATTGGAGGAGCCGCCATATTACTAATTCATACACCTCCCTACAGCCAGCCTTGATGATTCCCCTAGATGATAAATGATGGCTTATGTGTGTTTCAAAACTCATCTTCGGCCGTAGATGAGGCCTGCGCCAAAATCATGATAGCAGGAGCACTGATGCACTAGATTCTCGACACAAGAGAGAGTCAATCCTTGTTAAGGCAGAAAGAAATATTTCTCCGACCAGATGAACATGATGATACTCGGGCGTAGACTGCGAGGAATTGAAATGGAATAGCTTTATTCCACTATGAGCACGTACATATACTAGCAGGTTTAGGGTAGGTTCTGTGCCTCAGAATAACACCTTTGCTAACACGTTTTTTGACAAAGCTTTGGCATTAAACACTGTCTCACTGTTAAACGTCCTCTGCTCATGGAGCGTTCTTATCTTGGCAAATTATCGCCCTTGCGAGAGCACTGACTCTATCGAGGGGGTGAGCAGGGGATCATCCAGGAGCCTATAATGTTCCCGAGGGAACTCATTTTGATTTTTCCACGGATGGCTAGGAACACATCCTTCAATGTGAATACAATCACATTAGGAACATTTCGCCGTTGTTACGAAACTCTAGGGAACGTTAATCACAAAGCTGCATGGATCCCTGGGGGTGAGTGTCACCATTATAGTGTTCACCTTGCGGTTGGATGTCTGTCAGGCAGGTCTGAATAGATTGACAAAGAGGAGAAAAGTCTCACGGGAAATCAACGGACATTATGCACGGACGAGCAAGTATATCTCATCACTCAACCCAATGCATGCATACCATGTCTTTTCCTAATCGCTGACTACCAAAACTATTTGGTCATCCTACTCAAAACTGATCGCTATAAACGTATTGTATGTGGAGCAGACCTGCTCGGTCACTGTCGAGTTTCATCGTTGATAATACCGCTCCAGTTTGGTGGATTCATGAATGACTCCCTCAAGTCGATACAAGGAACGGGGGAGTTGCGATGCGTTTCTTTCCACCCAACTGGTATATATTCATAGCAGATCTTCTCATATCAGATCTATATACCGGATCTTCTAGTGACGTACAACGCAACATGCTGTATCCATTGCTAGTGAATGAAAAGACAGAGCGAACTGATGTCTTGAAGTTGATGTTCGGTGTATCAGCAGATGGATATGATAACATTACTAGACAAGAAGCAATACACCTCACGAAAAGTGATATAAAACAATCATCAGACTGAGGCCCTGTTTGGTATATAATAGTCAATGAAGGTACTTAGCATAAGTACCGAAACTGAGCGGCTCTCTCGCGTCTATACTGCGAGATGACATTCACTATCCCCGTTGTGAAGATCACCATTGCGCCTGTCATGGCTAAAGCGGCCAAAAGGAGAGCGAGGAAACTCAGTCTGCGGCTCCATAAGAGCAATCTAGATAGGAGCAAGTCGCCGAGTAAGGCCCCGAAAAACGGCAGAACTGCGATCCACATATCAGAGGCAGCGGGCAGGAAGCCCCCGAGGCCAAAAGACAACGCCAAACCTGACATGCATCCATCCTTCGCAAGGAAATTTCTACACTCCACTTACTAGAGCTTGTGATGAGCATAACGACAGAGCCTGTCGCTGCAGCTTGTTGAGGGTTTAGCTCCATGTAAAGAAGCAACGGCGTTATCAAACTCCCACCACCCTGGCCAACCAAGGCTGCTATAAAACCGATACCTATGATATTTCCAAGGACAAGTGCAGAGCTCTTGGCTGTTGCATTACAGAGCATAGCTCCTGAGAGCTTCACAGCCAATTTCAACATGGCTGCCGACTTGATAGCTACGACAAATAAACCGGGCACAGCCATCAGCATTATGCACACGATGACGGAGAGAGCCCAGTAGAGACCGGTGCAGTAAGGGATGCCAATGATACCTGAAATGGGATATTATCTGAAGACTATCGTAATGGAGATGGTTGGATGGACACTTCCCTACGATATACACCAGATCAAATTCAATCCGCGTCAGCTATATACTACAACATATGCGCTTAATTCTCCGCAGTAGTCGTCATGGTGACATCTGGCGGTCCGTTACGCAGCGAAAATGCGCGCCTCAATACACGATGAAAAGACTTGGAGAGACGAGCAGATGAAAAAGAATGTGACGTACTTGGCGTAGATGACGAGCCCAATAACAGGCGTGAGAGGATAACTGCTATCCACACAGCCAACAGAGTAGTGATGAGAATAGCCTTCTTATATTTCAGTGAAAGCGAGATGGACCGAGCTCTTGATGTCACGGACGGTAGCACTGTATCTTCAGTTACGCAGGGCGGTGGCACCACGCCTAGTTGGCCAGCACTAGACGCCCCTTCTGTCTCGGATTTCCACAAGCCTATGCCCTTCTTGAAGCCCATACATGATGCGAGAATAGCAGTGAATACATAGAGCACTAATTGGAATATTTCAGGAAGCCACGTGTAGAGATAGACCCCAAGCAAACCACCGACCACCATAGGAGGTAGCATTAATACTGCATACGGCAGATTAATAATAGACTCAACAGAACTGTTCCCATGCAATTGTATATAAACGGACGATAGAACCTGGAGAGAGCCACTGTTATCACCATCTACCCAATGCATGAGCGCTTACTTTCGCAAGAGTCGCAGAAGCCACTAAAACCTGACTAGTGGCTGCGGCATCCCTAGCAGATAACATACCTATGATATGAAGAACGGGTACGAAGAGGGTGCCTCCTCCCATACCGGGAGGGGTACATAACAATGCGATGATGAACACGAGAGGAGCCACTGCTTCTATTGATACGATAGACTCCGAACCCATTATATTAAATTGTCAAACTACAAAGCATCCATCTGTTCATGAAGAGGCGAGACCTATTTTGAACATCAATCCAATGCTCCTGGCACACTTTCTTTCTAACTTTCTATGTTGGAGCACGAGCATCTGTCTCCGAGAAGGAGGGCCTATAAGCTGCTATTCATGATTCCCCAACCGTCTACTCTCACCCCTATTCTATATCGGAGGTACAGATGGACACAAATTGTCACTATCCGCGACCATCTAAGGTCCGGAACTCCCGGAGGCCAAGTTGAGAGATTATCGTGGGGAAACGATCCTTCCCGAAAACTTCCGAGCCTCGGAATCCGAGTCAGTTGCGTATGACTTGGTCGTTCGGGCGCCCCGAGGATACAAGCCTAGGTTTAAACTTCAAGAATCGTCATTGTCAAGGAGTTGGTGGTCACCAAAGCGCAACAGACGGTATGAATCTGATCATCATCTAACACCTTGATTGCTCTGCAACACACAATGTCCCTTATGATCTCCAACACAAGCTCACTTTATGCTAATAGTTAATACTGCATGATATCCATGATCTAACAACGTCCGCACAGAGAGAGTCATAGACAATCGTAAACGTAGACAGCGAGCAAACGGATAGCTCACGCACCAAATTGGCGAGTCGTCTTCGGTGGTTGTGGGCAAGCCAAGGTTCTCCTGTACCACGACGACCGGAAAGAAGGAGACGAAGCGGGTCTCAGTCGCTGCGGATGATCTGCTGTTGATGGTCTGAACAGATATCTGAACATCGAAAAACACTCCTCTAGGTGGAGTCGTGATCTAAACAGCTCACTGCTGAGCTCCAATGATCCCTCGGTGCCCGATTGGATGCTGGAGAACAACAGGCTGATGATCATGATGAATATGGCGATGGCTAACGTGATGATGCACTGCAGTAGGATCATCTTGCGCGGTACCGGACTTGCTCGATTTCAACATCTGAAGAGAAGTGAAGCATTCGAGACATGAAGTTCATGTCATGAACGACAGAGGGCTCGGGAAAGGCGTCTCCCTCACCTTCATAGCGTCATCCATTGCCTTTTTTTCTGCCTCTCCTATTCTGGCATCTCCAGGGAGCCCATTGGAGTAGTGATGATGGTAATGATGATGATAATGGACAACTGTTGGTCCATCCTTCGGGGAGGACCGTGATTCTCCATGCACCACCAACTCCCACGCAGGTGGGCTCCCTGGCCGTTGCGTACATACCAACGGGGGCAGCGCGCCGTCTTCACTACGAGGGCTCGATGTGCTGGACGTCGAACTCTCTTGACCAGGTCTGACCCTGCGTGCCTTAGCCAGGGCGACGCTAGCCCGATCGAGCGCATCTTGAAGAGCCGAATCTTCCCCAACCAACCAGCCGCGAAAATTGCGCTGGATCGGAAGCTCGATATCGCTTGTGGGCGACTGGGGCCTCTCTTCTGACTCAACAGGGTGCCTGACAGCATTATTCAGATCCACGGATGGATTCCGTGAGAATTGCATGGGCATCTTAGTGACGCTTCGTATGTGATATGATATCATGGCTTTACCCTGCAGAGTTGAACTCAGGCGCCGCCTACCTATGTGCACTCGAGGTCTCGGTCTGGTCGACCTCACGGACGTCCTTCATTCCGACCTTCGATTGAGCTCCTTCACATCCTTCACTCCTGAAGATGGATAAAAACTCCTCTATTCCAATGTCCAGGGACTGTCGCCCTACACCTACCAAGAGCTCTCTCTCCAGGATGCGACACCAGAAGAAGACGATATCTTCATAGCAAGTAGAGCTGTTCCAGAAGGTATGATATCACATGCACTAGGATTGGCAGTGTCATCAGTAGTTCTTCCGATCTCTCGTAGGCTCGAGAGAGCATCACTCCTCGCACTGTCCATTCTACTACTGACTACGGCAGAGCTGCTCGCGGATGGTGGGGACCGCCTCGGCGGCGATGTCATTAGCCGTTCAGAGCCGTCATTATGGATTGATCCCACATCAGTGCAGCTGGATCTATCAAGGGAGCCATCACTAGCCGACTCGTCCGAGTCTGAATGCGAGCTATCAGACCGTTCGCTGATGATATGATTTTCCTCGACGCCATCTTTAAAGTCACCCGAGGAGGAGGAGAAGCAAGCCCACTTCCCCTTCGCAAACACGTCGTCCGCACGCAGACTATCCGTGGAAGTGCTCTCTCGTACACCGGAGTTGCTCCGTAAGGACGTGAAAATCACCGCAGTGTCATCCGTAGAACATCGTGAAGACTCGCTCCTGCCAATTCCAGGTGATTGATCGGGCTCGTCCTCATCTTCCAGGTCTATGCCTACTATTTCATGTTTCGGAGTCCCATCCGTAGACTTCTGTAACTGGCTCCGCTGCTGCCTTTTGGTACGTTCGAATGCTTCCTTCTGAGCATCTCGCTTCTGACGCCATGAGCCCGTTACCGCTCCTTTGCCAATTTCAGCGCTCATGTGTTGCCGTGTCACCACCTTCTGCTGTGGTGTCGATAGCTGTGACTTCCGACGTTCAGACTTCTCAAACTGTTGCCGACAAATCCCCTGGTGTCGCGCTATTCTATCACTAGAAAACGGTCGTTGGCAAATTGCACAAAGTGTGCGACCATTGGGAGAGGTCATCGTAAGGGAAGCCATGCTGAGACTCTTCCTAGGCCCAGCCGTCCTCTTTTTACAGTTCATTTTATGTCTTTCTAGCTCCGACCGCTTCAATGGGGTGTCACAGAAAGGACACGGCAGCTCGATGTGCTGTTGCTTCACAAGGCACGACTTGAGATGAAATCGAAGGCTTTGTGGGAAGAATTGCTGTCCGCAGCTAGGGCAGGGAACAGCCCTTGTGTGACGACCCTGAGCTATACCGGCCATGGTGTGAAGCAGGACGCTTTAATAGACGACTGAATTTGATGCAGTGAGTAGTGGTATGAGCACTTACAAGCAAGAAATCTTGCTTACTTATAAGATCTCAACGGCATTCTTTATTGTGCCGTGCCGTGGTGATGGTTTTGAAGTCGCCGAAATAGCTTTCCAGAATTGATGGTTTCTGATGGATAGGTTGCACTGAGACTTCTACTCACCTGAGCTCTACTATGTATGCAGCTGAAGGCTGTTCTCTCATACAGCTACAGTGAAGCTCTATTGCTTCTTTTGAACAACCTTATGGTATTTTTGATTGCGGAAGAGGCTCGTCGAGTTACTTGATTAGAGCTTGAGACGTGTCATAGCGTGTTCTGTATTTTGATAGGGATAATATGATATCTCCACTATGTATATCAACACTGTTAGCCTAACAGTACTAGTCAAAGCCTTTGTGTCAGATGGAGCCCTTCTGCTGGCTCGTACAGGCACTGACCATCGCTAGTAGTTTTTCTGTCTTATTTGAGCATTATGTCTGATACTGAGTCCCCTGAGGATACACCTGCTGTTGTGATTGATAACGGCAGCGGCCTTTGCAAGGCGGGTTTCGCAGGTGATGACGCCCCTCGTGCCATCTTCCCATCCATCGTTGGCAGACCTAAGATGTAAGGAAGTCTTCATCGTTGATTGTTATGATCTTTTGTTAGCGTCTCTTTCTTAGGCCTGGTATCATGGTCGGAATGGACCAGAGGGAATGGTATGTTGGTGACGAGGCTCAGTCCAAGAGAGGAGTTCTAACTCTGAAGTATCCTATCGAGCATGGAATTGTCACTAACTGGGACGACATGGAGAAAATATGGCATCATACCTTCTACAACGAGCTCCGAGTTCAACCTGAGGATCACCCAGTAAGCTGTTACTCAAGCTACTGTTAGTTTCGTGTTATTCACTGATTGTTAGGTGCTCCTCACAGAGGCGCCCCTGAATCCTAAGGCTAACAGGGAGCGTATGGTACAGATCATGTTCGAGGTCTTCAACGTCCCTGGTGTCCACGTCCAGATCCAAGCAGTCTTGTCTCTGTACGCCTCTGGCCGAACCACTGGTATCGTCCTCGATTCTGGTGATGGAGTCACTCACACGGTGCCTATATACGAGGGTTATGCTATGCCTCATGCTATCAAAAGGATGGACTTGGCCGGTAGGGACTTGACCGAGTACATGATGACCATCCTCACTGGTCGTGGCTACACCTTCACCACTTCAGCCGAGCGGGAGATTGTTCGCGATATCAAGGAGAAGCTGTGCTATGTGGCGCTTGACTACGACGAGGAGATGAAGTCAGCTAGCAACAGTAGTGAGCTCGAGAAGACCTATGAGTTGCCTGATGGTAACATAATCACCCTCGGCAACGAGCGCTTCCGATGCCCAGAGGTCCTCTTCCAACCTGACTTGATGGGTAAGGAGGCTTGCGGTATTCACGAGACGTTATTCAACTCCATCATGAAGTGCGACTTGGATATTCGTAAGGATCTTTACGCCAATGTGGTCCTCTCTGGTGGTACTACTATGTTTAGTGGCATCCGTGAGAGGATGGGCAAGGAGTTGACAGCTCTTGCTCCTTCTACTATGAAGATCAAGGTTGTGGCTCCTCCTGAACGGAAGTATTCAGTGTGGATCGGAGGCTCCACATTAGCGTCTTTATCGACCTTCCAACAGATGTGGATATCCAAGGAAGAGTATGATGAGGTTGGACCAACTATCGTCCATAGGAAATGCTTCTAAGTAGAAGACCATTGATTATCACTGTGCTTCTTCTTACTGGATTGCTATCGCTTGTGAGGCTTTTATACACTCGAATCGTTCTATCCGTTTCTCCTTCAACAACTTCCGTGTTGTCATAGCGTCCGTCGACGACGGGCGTTGAGGAATCTCTCAAGTGTCCAAGATGTCTCTGCGTTCACGTTGTGCTCTTCTGTTGCTAGAGTTCTCAAGACAGCATGTAATGCCTGCAGCGACTATCGTCCGATCTTCAACACGAGGTGGGTTTGCTTTACACTGTATGCCTCAGTCGTCTGCCACTTGTACCTCCTTAGTGTTTGTTTGGTGGCGTCGTGTTTGTGTGGAATCCTTGTACAGTTTACCATGAGGTGTAGCTCGTGTGTAGCACACTATGTCTTCTCTGTGTTGTTGGATCCCATTTGGTTTGAGTGCGCCATGGCGTTGTGTGGAGGTAGGTCTTCCTCTTAGGTTTGTTGGAGCGATGCAGAAGCGATGATGCTGCTATGCATTTGGTAGTGGAGATGCCGAGTCTGCCAAGGACAGTTGATTCTCCGGCTGCGCGGCTCGCAACACATGGTACCTCTGTTGTGGTTTATCAGCCATTCATGCTTTTATGTGTTTGGTGTACCTTGGTTTTCTACACGTGCTCAATGTGGCCCTTGAGTTCGCCTGTTGATTTGTTTCGTATCGATGTCTACCTCAGATTTCCATTAGAAGCAGCAAAACAATGTCTAACAGACCCTCTCGTCGTCGTGATGATGATAACCACAAAGCCGATAGGCAGCAGCTGGCTCGGGCTGAGCAGGTTGATCCCTTCGGTGTCGGCACGATTGATAGGATGTTCCGCGAACACGAACAGGTACTATCCTCGCTATTGGTAGTGTTGCCAACACCTTATCAGGCAATGGACAACATGATGGAGGGAATAGAAAGAGACATGTCTCTTGCCACTCAAGCCGCCGCCGGTGATGACCTCATCGGAGGAATGCTCCCTACAGGTCAGCATCCACAACAAGGGCAGTACTCGAGTCAGGTAGGGAGCCAATTGGGACTTGAGGTATATTGCATTTGCCAGGTCTATGTGTCCTCTAGTCGTCGTGGCCCCGATGGCAAGACCGTCACGGAGCAGTATCAAAGCTCGACTGTGGGAGATGCCGATAGGAAGCTACGAGAGCAGCAGGAGTTGTATGCCAACTCGGGTACTGGTATTGATAAGATGGCCTTGGAGAGGACCATGGGCGAACAAGGTCAGTGGGAAGGTCAGCTTAGTAATTGATCTCGATCGTCTACTTGCAGGCCGCAGAGTCGTCCGTAGCCGTAACCGCAACACTGGTGACCAAAACACCCAAGACATGCTCAAGGGTGGGCTCACTGAAGAGAACGCTGCCGAGTTCGACCAACGTTGGCAAGAGGATGCCGTGCCTCACCTGCCTCCTCATGGAGCACCTGGGATGCCTGCCTTGGGTGGTGCTCATTATAGCGGCATCGAAGATGCTGGTGATAGGCAGTCAAGGAGAAGAAGCCACGAGCAGCGACAGCTGACTGGCATCTAAACACCCCTTATTTCAAGATTATCATAAACCCTATCTAGAATGGGCTGTATAGTCCACCCTTAGAGTGTGCTGCTTTTTTCAACCATTGGAGCTATATGAACTATGATCACTCCTCCATAGTGTCGAGTAGATGACAAACACCCCTGATATAAGCTATCATTTTGATACATTTCTTGTCGGGTTAGAGCACTGGAGACTTCTCCCTCTAGTCCTTTAGTCTTGTATTATGACCATTCGCTCGAACACAGCTTCCAGTGGCCGCTCTGATGACGAGGAGTCCACTTCATCGTGATGAATGTAAGAGGCCTGGTTCAACACTAAAGAGGTGATATCCAGAGGCGATATCGAGGTAAGAAAGCGGTATTTGGAAAGAAGGTCTTCACACTGTTTAACATTCACATGTAGGTGATCGCTCTCTATCGGTACGGTGTTTTGTTATCCTTCATGTTTCAGAGACCCTTCGAGTAACTTCCCTTCAGCGACCCCCATCGAGACAGCCCATGGCGACTGGTGTATGAAAGCTCAGTCCTCTATTGGGGATGGTGTTCGGCATATGAGTGTGAACCTGCCGATATGGATTTCCTTTCCAGTGCGGTTTAAGGGTCTCTTGATGTTCCTACACGGCCTATGCACTATGTGATGCCCCCAGCAGTGCAGGCGAGTCTAGCGTGTTCGTCTCGAGAGAGCTTATCGGAGGCTGATTAACGCTATGTGGACAGAAGAAGGAAGAGACGTGGTCGCACCATCTTAAAGGGGGAAGGCGCTTGTGAACCCAACCGGGTTCCAGCCGGTTGAGTTTTTTATTTGACTTCCCCCTCCCGGGCTTGTTGCCATCCTCGCACTACTGCATGCTGAAGCTGTACGACAGTGTTTATCGTCAGATCTGCGTCGTCCACTCTCGAGTTGCTCTCTCTATTGCTCGAGGGGCTCGCTCTTTCTATGGACCGGCTCTCCTAGTGTCTGTTTTCCCTTTTTTATAAGCATGCCTTACAGGAGGAGAAATAACAAATCATCTGCCACAGCTTCTACTACTGGTGTTAAGCCAGTGTCCACTGGTTCCATCCTGGCCAAGGAACCACCGGCTGCAGTAGCGATGTCCCCGGTTCCGACCACAGTGGGAGCCGACTCCCCGCTCGAGCCCAAGTCCCCGATGGACCCTATCGAGTCCCCCCAGCCTGCTATGAGCAACGCGGCTCGTCGACGTAGGAGGCGCCGTAGAGCTCATAAGGAGGTGAGAGTTGTGAACCAAGCTGAATGGTAGTGACGTATTGGTGTATAGGTGGTCCAAGAAGAGCTCGAGGAACCTGAACCCGTGGAGCTTACCAAGAGCCAGCTGAAGAGGAAGAAGAGGCTCCAGAGGAAGGCAGAAGCTGAGCAGGATCAACCTAGGTCCATCAAGGCGGTAAGGACAGCTCGATCTATGGAGCTTCTTAGTAGAGGATCCCTTGTTGCTGTTAGGACCCATCGCTCTTCCCTCCCGTTCCTGACTACCCGTCGAAGGCTAAGATGGACGCTATCATCAGCGCTACCACGAAGAACAAATTGCGAGATCTCGAATGGGCAGAGTTCCAGTCACTTGTTAACTCGCTTGACAAGCAGGTGGAGGAGATACGTGCTGAACTGCCTCCCAAGCCGAAGGATAAGAGGCAGACTACGATGCGTCTGCGGCAGCAGATCTATGAGCTGTCTCAGCTGCCGCCCTCGGACGAGGTCACTGGCATGTTGGAATCGGCTGAGGAGGAGCTCATCCCGACGGCGGCTCACGAGATGTTTAAGAATTTACAGCATCGTATGGTGTTGGTGAAGAAGGAGCTTAGTGAAGGGCAAGAGGAGCAGAGAGAGAAGAAGAGGCAACAGAGGGAGGAGGCTATCGAGAGTCGACGGGCTGCGAGGCTCGGCAAGATGCTCCGTCAAGAGGTTACTCATCTGCATGAGGCGGAGCTGCCGATGATATCCACAGGATTTGAGGATGGCGTTCAGGTGGGTTCTTGTCGTACGCACTGGTCTTCACCTTCGCAGCTGCTCGTTGTCAGGCTCGTTTGATCGGCTTGCTCTTCCCTCCCGAAGGCCAGCCTTCGATCTTGCCTCGTCTGGAGAGGTTCACTACGGCCCTTCTCGAGCCTCTCTATGGCGAGACGGGTTTGGTGCGTGGGGTTCGTGTCTCTGCCAATTCGGAGGAGTCTCTGACTAGTGCGGTGCAGCAGTTGAAGCACATCGACGTCAACAATGTCGTACGCGTGCCCATCCCTAATGACGTCCCTGGTGCCCGTAGACGCGCTGGCGATGTGGTTCGGAAGCTGGAGGCCTCTGAGCAGTCTCTCTTCATCACCTTTGGTAACGCGGACATAGCCGTCCACGGTCCTGTCAATGGGACTGCGGTCAAGCAGGCAGGAGATGATATTAAGGCGGCTATGCGGGCTGCTGCCGACAGAGCTCAGAATTCGGTTACTAGGGTGGTCACGGCCGACACGGAGACGCTACGATGCGTGATGGGCGATGGTGCGATGGGTCTGAGGAAGATACAGTCCCAGAGTGGGTGCTCTATACAGGCAAGGTTCAATGACCAGCATGCTACGGTCACGGTGAGGGGTCCGACCGAGGCTAAGGTTAATGAGGCTTGCAAGGCCTTGAACGACGCCATTAAGGAGGTGGCTCGAGTGGAGGTACCGGTGAAGACAGATGAGCAACGAGAGAAGCTGTTCGCAGCCAATGGGCTATTGGCGCCCCGTCTGTCTGTTATCAAACGAGAGTATCGGGGCGGCTGTCGTTTTGTGAAGGAGGCGGATGGAAAGAAGATAACCGTTATGTCACAAACACAGGAGGAAGCGGATCAGGCTGGCAAGGAGTTGCGCAAGTTGGTTGAGGAGGCGGCCATGACCTTCGAGACTATACCGGTTCCGAGTGACCACGTCAGCGTTTGGATGCGGCCTGCAAATGTCGAGCTATTGCGGTTGAAGAACCACCTCACTCGAGCCTTTTTCCAACGTGGTGGCAAAGGGGCTGGGAAGGGGAACTCTGGCCCGACACTGGAGCTAGTTGGTACCCCTGAAGCTGTTGCTAACGCCAAGAAGGACATACCCAAGGTGGTTACTGATGCTGAGGTTACCGAGACATTTGCTGTGCTTGGGGCATGTAGTGGTGATGGTAAACTTGTTGATGCCGTTATCGGCACACTGATGAGAGATCGGGCAGCACGGCTGAACCAGATTGGGAAAGAGACGGGCACCAACCTCACTCTGTTGGGAGGCAGTGGTAAAGGAAGCGGTCGATCGCCGGTTTCCCGCGGTCAGAACGGTATGCGTAGGGATATCCGACTCGTCGGCTCTAAGGCTGATGTCGTTCAGGCTAAGAGGGTAAGGACTGTCTAGGAGGCTCATTCGGACTGTATGCTCTGTGTGGCTGTAGATGCTCGGCCAACTCGTTAACGACTTGAAAGATGCCACGAGCTCGACGGAGACGATCGAGTTCACCATTCCTGAAGACACCGTTAGGTTGGTGATTGGAGCCAAGGGCAGGACGGTACGCCCGTGCATAGGCGAGTTCGTTGACACTATCGGGATTTTTGCTCAGATACAGCGTATCAAGGCGGTCTCTGGCGTTTCCTCGATCGATTTTGAGCACGCGGAAGAGGGTGTGTCCAAGTGTCGGATAAGTGGACAACTGGAATCGATTTCCCGAGCTGAGGAGATGGTCAAAGCCATTTCGGCGGGAGAGCGAGTTGACTTCACCAAGAAGGTTGAAGAACAGGGCAGTTCAGAAGCACCGGTAGAGTCAACTAATTTGGTACATTCGAAAAGAATTGAGGTTATGCGACGTTCAGGCGATTGAATCTGCCCAACCTGGTCCGCGGGTCCTCAAGGCGCAGGCCGGGTTCAAACCATCAAACAACGATAAAAGAACAGGAAAACGTGAGTGATCGGAATATCATTGGTTGTTGCGATCTGACTTTATTCAGGGAATCAGCAAAAAGCTGCCGCTAAAGCTGACTCTGGAGACGACGAAGAGTTCCCTGCCCTCAGCGCTGTGGCAGTTCCGCTATCGCTTCGAAGCGGATAATCACTGCTCGCAGATCGTCAGGAGTGGTCTAGCTGCAGCTGACTGACTGACTGACAGAGGTTGAGGCCAGAATAGAATCACAAATTACTACTTGTCACACAAAGTGTGGTGGATGATAATTCTACTTCGATTAGTTTTTTCACGTGTAGCCGATAGAACATATATTTAGTCGTCCTTCTGTATAGAACGGCAAGTGCTCTTTCTATTGTGTTCTGATTAGTGCATAAACATAGTCACTTGTTGTGTTGTCAAGTGAATGGCCTCGTATGGGTTCGAGTGGAAGGAAAATAGTATGCTCTCCCGGTTGAAAATCGGTGAATAAGAAACGAGTGGATGGATCGCGAATGTTGATTGTCGCAATTTGTGATGATACCGCTGGAACACCACTGATGTATCACGCTTCACGTGCGGATCTGCTTTTCGTAAGGAACAGTCACCACAGTGACGTGCCTATGATCGTACTTACGCAAAGAAATTTAGAACCCCCATGAGCATCGGTAGATTCTATCTCAAAGCAGAGACGGATTATACTACGTACCTCTAGTCGTACATCAGCCAACATTTGATCGTTTCATGCTGAACTCCAGTAACTTAGCAGTAAACGGAAACTTTTAATACAAACAATCATGCCCTTTGAATCGGGATGCACTTCCCATTCACTTCTGTAGTTTTCAGTAACAACGTAATGGCTTGCTTGAAGTGCTTCAATAGGCAGCTCTCTAGTGTGTTCGCCCGGGCTTGACTCTGAGTGGCAGTCGAGGAATGGAGAAAGATTATATCGGTCATCTAGCTCCAACTGGGCTGGAACCGCTAGCATACCATCCGAAGGGTTATGCAGTTAGAGCCACTCAAAGGGTTCGAGGGGCGAAGACACTCACTATTGATGTTGACGCTGCTTGATACTCCTCCTTGCACCTTCGGTACTTCTGTGTTGCCATACCAAAGCACAGGATCATACTTCTACGGTAGTTATCGTCCTTCTCATTCTCATAGTAATCGTCTACCTACAGATCAAGTCGACAATCAATAGTCTACTAGCATTCGAACCTCGTTATGGCATCGTTGCGATAGGAGGGTCTGTACTTCCCATTGGAAGCACGAGTTCGGTCCACTGTGTTCACTCTGATATTTTGCCGAGTCGCGGCCTATCGACCAGAAGTCGCTCATCAAATCAACTGCGAGTAACAAGTAAATGATCAGCCCCGTTCCAGTACAATTTACATAACATCTATAGATTCATGCCAGGACTGGCGGATAGAGGTGCCCGATGCACTCACCCGCGGCGAAAGGCCCCACTACAGACCGTAGGATAAGAAGGAAGCTCTGATTCCATGCGGCATAGACAATCACGACTCTTAAGAGAATGTCGCTCGAAATCTCCGCATCGGACAATCGAGTTGGCCGAGGCACCGCCTTGAGCGATTGTTACGGTCTACAACTTGTAGACTACAAGAAAACAGAGATTAATCTGAACTGACTCAGTTGAGCCCGTCAGTAGTATCAGCTCTAGAAGAGGCCGTCTGTATGTGAGTGAGATCGTCTGGCTGTGCATTGAGAGCGTATTCCCTGGAGCCCGACAGCGAAGGAGTGGGTGCAGCGGATGTCATCAGAAATCGGACAAGTCGGAGAACTGATGTGGTAGATCGACCATAACGCAAGATGGTATGCCGTAGTAAACGTGTGTTGCTGTAGAGTTGTCATCAATCCTCGGCCCACCAGCTGGTTAGTCCCATACCATCACCGGCAACACTACCTAATACCTGCATCGGGGGTAGGGGTGCACTAGGACCTGAGGATAGGACATCACTCTTATCACACGGATGAATAAGGATCTCGAGACATCAATATTGTTACTACTACGAGCATCGAGGATGCTCCCCACCCAGCATATCCATTGCACGCGTGTACAAGACCGTACCACCAAAATCAATCCAACTGCTCCTCGTGCATATGTGAGAGTCGATGGGAAGCAAATGTCCTAATGCATCCTAATAAGAGTCGAGGGTTTTCTCTATATATCTTCGTGATGCCAAAACTGTTGTTTGTAGCTCTATAGGTGTATGTTTCCAACCACCATCACAGCAGCATCAATCATTCACTAAGGGCATCGTTCACTCCGCACCCAATGCGATTAACTTCACCAGACTACTCTAGCAGTAAGTCTATGACAGTCTCCTTTATATTCCACTACTATCCTCAACATTCCCGTTAAACCAGTTTCAACCATTCAAGATTCTCCCCAGTATTATATCTTTAAACTGCCTCAACAACCGAGCGAGGTCGTCGGCTGGTAAGCACTTCAGCTACCCTTACTACCCTTCGAATCCTTCTCAGCCACAGCTTGTGCTAACGTCGACTTGTTCTCCTGTCGTTGATTGAATACTATTGCCTTTACCGAGAAGCATATCTCCGCACCTACCACGACGACCATCTTACAAACTACTCCGAGCAACCCATCCTACTACCCGGCCTGTAAAAGAAACTATCAGTGGCATCCTCCCGCTTATACTGCCATATCCACAGCTTAGTCTGTTCATCATATAAGCACGGATCCCTAAAAGAACTCGTGGGAGATAGCGTAGACCCCCATCATCACTTCAGATCAGCATATGGTATATGCACATCCTTGAACCATGACCCCAGCTTGACATAGAGCCCAGTGGCTGTGGACCTATCCACCGTGCCCACTATAGTCTCCCCAACCATTGGACGGAAGACACACAAGCGGAATGCCACCTTGCAGAAGGCTCCTCCCTAACCTCACACAACCATAAGGGAGGACTAGGCAGTCTTATGGCATACCTTTTGGTGGTGAAAGTCAGCAGGATGGATGTAAGCATCAGTGATCCTGATGACGTCATATAGAGCCACCACCAGTCCAACGTCTGGTATAACTCGGTCCACGTACCTGGCGAGCATTCCATCCACCAGCTCAACCGACAGGAGGTATTACTTCTCCTGTATTCGCCGCCGTATATGTGGTATGTGCTTGCCCGGCTCGAACTCGTCAGGTGGTAGGACTATGGTGTCCGACACCACAGTGATGATGAACATCGACAACGACAAGTATCCCCAACCACTGCACTCAGGGAAGATCCCTCTAGCACTACTTCAGCAACACAAGTCGCAGGTGTAGTGTCCACAGAAAAGATACTGTGAATGCGATGGGTTCACTATCACACTCACACAGTTTGAAAAGAAGATTAGCTCGCTCCGCGATTAGAAATACGAGATACACTATGACGGAGTGTCACCCGTGATATGAAGAACACTAGTGAAAAACATATTTCACGACTATTGCAAGGCGCAAACATCGCGTTTTTCACGGAGTTTTACGCCACTTCACGTAAAACGGGTGAAACTCCAATAATCATCGGCTACTCTATCACGCAGTGTGACTCATTTTAAAGCCATTACCAGTGTTATCGTCGATGAAGCTTATCACCTGCTTTATGGGCATAATCTCGCCGTCCACCTCCTGGGAACGGCCACTGAAGGGATGAAGGACCCGTCGACTCCGCCGGACACCACCGCTACTGCTGCTAATCTTACGCTGTCAGGATCTCAGTTGCCACTTTTTTCATGGCAGGATAAGCCGCCCTGATGAGCTGATTAGCATGAATAATAATATTCGCGCCATGTTCGGCTAGCTCAGACTCGTGTACACTGTTGTAGCTGAGGAAGGACACAGCGTAACAAGGGGAGACCACGAGTAGCCTACTACCTAGTAGGCACTAGGATGATCGGCGTCTTGACTTTATCAGGATATTGCTCACGGAATACCTAACTCGAGTAATAGATAAATATCGCATTTATCACTACACTTACTTTAAGGAACTCGTAAATTTCCTGAGGATCCTTATGCCTAGAGTGGATCATGATACCATCACAGCCTCCCTTCTCCAGGTATGCTGTGGCGCGGCGCATAGCCTAACCATAGACCAATACGACCACCGTTGTTGTGATGATAGCAGCAGGAATAGTACCTCTTCCTGTCCTAGACCAGCAATCAATGCCTCAACTCTAGCGAAGATCATAAAGTCGTTGGTGACCTGAGCATCCTTACCAGCGGCCAACTTGTCACAGAACTCATCAACGTCAGCCAGTTGCTGCTTCCTATCACACACAAGTACGACTACTAGTAACACTCCTCCGATGCCGCCTACCTCTCTGTGCCAAAGAGGGAGTTCTGCTTGAGTCCAGTCTTATCCTCAATCACACAAGCTCCAACACCAAGGCGCTCCAACTTCTTCACTGTGAAGCGGAAAATCTCGGCCTCTCCACCAGTATCACCATCGTAGATCATAGGCAGCGATGATACATCAAGACAGTCCTCGACAATCTGCAGTCTCTGGGTGGTATCAACCGTTTCGATATCAGGCATTCCCTTCAGCGTACTCGAGGTCAGTGAAGAGGACCATAAGCAATCAAACTTAGCCTCCGAACCTACACCACCAGAGATCAGTAACCAGCATCGAATGTGGGACTACTACCATCAGGCCTGTGAGCTCGAGTCTGTTCAACTATCATCGCGGAGAGGCCTGAGTGCGCCTCCATAGCGCGAATAACACCATCATTAGGCTGAATAGAAAACAACGTTATGAAGGGATCAAGTACGGCACAGTTCCCTACCGCTTTGGTATTGATGAGCTGCCTGAGGGCTGCGAGTCTCGCAGTTGCAGTTGTCGAGGCGAAACCACGGCGAGCAATATTACTCAACATTGTTGAAACGGAAGGATAACAAAAAACCTATACGCCTAGGCAGTGGAGGTAGGAAACAATATCATCACAACACAAACTGGAGAGGGACAGGGCGCCTAGATCTCGGAGTCAAAATAGGAGCTATTCCAATCCAACGCCCCCACTAGGAGATCCTACGGGCGCAGCACACACCTGATACTCGCTGAAGGATATGCTCACAACACATGAAAACAGTACTCAGCAAGACCAGACGACAGCCTATGTTTGCTCCAGCAGCAGTGTGTCGGGAAGCTAGAGAACACAAAAAACCTTCTAGTGGAGGGGAAAGTGAAACTGTATCAATCACGTTAGTCGACAACCTCACAATCGTCGTTATTATCAACCTTATCTGGGGCTCCCTCCTTCACAAGAGCACCTGCCCAAAGCCAAAACTGCACCAAGTTGCAACGGCATCACAGCCTACCACCAGACGCCGCCTCCGCTCCAGTCTTGTGTTCACTGCCACCTTCCTCTTCCTCCTCCTCTCCAATGGTCATCGGACCCGACCCTACGAGTAAGACATCTATACTGGGAACTGTATAAGAAGATACATACCAGCAGTAGGTGGTGGAGGCTTAGGTGGTGGGGCCTGGACTGGTCTGACTGCCATTGTCATACTCTCTACGTTGTACAGGGTGTACTTACCCATTTTATACCTGATACGGGCGCTCTACGAAGGTCGTTACAGTTCCCGTAGCAGGCGCAGGTTCGATCCTATCACCTGTCAGTTGGGTAGAATGCTGCACACATGACTCGATCGTCAAACTTCCTCCCATTGTTCGTAGCTTGAAACTTCCTAGCTGCTGTGATATCCGCAAACTGCACGAAGATCTTCCCAACGCCATTGGCATATGGTGTTAGACTCGCCGATGGCTGAGGAACAGTACGCATGCCCTCACTACTCAACGCTAACGCTGACTCTCTTACCCGTGGAACTCGGACCTCCAACACAGTTCCGTGCCTCTGGGCCTCCTCACGTATCTCATCTTCAATTGACTTTACCTCTGAGGACGGGCATTACAACGAACCAATCTGTGTCTCTGCATCATTACCAGTCTCCGACATCAGGTCCTCTATATAAACAGCATTAAGAAGTTGTACTACTGTGCTAGGAGTCGACCCTATCTCTCGCCCAGCCTTCAGCTGAGCCGCCAGAGCTGGGTTGGCCAGCACTCGAGCCGTCATAGACTGAACCTGCTTTCCGATGAATGCACTCTCTCTAGGAAGCCCTCACGACTGCTACCCCCGATGAGCCATCAGCCAGGTTGGTCGCCGGGCCTACACCAGCGCCTCCTATCCCCGCAGCCTAACGACAGAGGAATATCAAACAACTTCTCAACCCCGCAGGCCTACTCCTCCTTGCTGTGCATCTGGAACGAGTCTGGTCACACTGAGGCTATAGTTACCCAAAACGAACTGGTCAAGGGCATATAGGCATCTATCCGCATCATTCGGATCTGAGGAAACAACAACCTGATCACCACAATAGACGCGAGTTATGACCTTCGAATTGACAGAAACCATAGCCCTTGCTTAAGCCCGTTGTCTTATCTCTGATGAGGCTGACCATAGTGAGAGCACCAAACTGTTCCAATAGGTCCCTCAAATAGGTCTCCGTCATCACCTACGATGAAATCAAGGCAAACGTCATCGTGGATGCATTACCGGTGGGAGATGGTATATCCCTAATTGTAGGTTAGACCCTGGAGCAGTCTTCTTAGTAGAGGACCCTCCTGAATACACCATCATTGCCTCCGTCATCTATGGCCTTTATACTACCACACAGTTCCTCGATAGTAACCTTTTGTATGTCCTCAGCGGTGATGCTCTTGGATGGGTCCTCCTTGTTGTAGCCGTGGGGCCTCGTTATCGCTAATTTACGACCATCTAAGTCGATACCTAACACGATCTGTCATCACCATCAGTACTGTTTCTGGTAGTAGTACTACCATTGAGTCTCATAGCGACTGTGGCTGCAATAGGCGTTCGGAACTCCACGAGAGCTGTACGACTGTGACCATCCGAGATGAGGAAGAACACAGACACTACCTGACGAAAGCCGTAATCAACAGCACGAGCATCACCGTAGTAGTAGTAGTAGTAGTAGTAGTAGTAGTAGTAGTAGTAGTAGTAGTAGTAGTAGTAGTAGTAGTAGTAGTAGTAGTAGTAGTAGGGTGGTAGTACTGGATGGAGTGGCGTAGTCTTCCCTCCATTGCCAGTAACGGCAAATAGTGCTCCCTTGAAGAAGTCCATCACCGACTGCTGACTAGAGTCCCTCTGACGGATATTCTTCACCGTTAACCTCCTTTCCGATGCATCACCTTTGACCTGGCAACCCAATACTAACCAACCATCCATCACCTCCGAACCATACCCTCCCCATTGCAGTAGCCGAGACTCCTTCCCCTTGTGGTCTCGGTGCAGGAGGCGCTGCACCTGTATGATGTGCAACTCCCATATTCATGCACTGTGAAGATTTCCTTACTGAAAACGCTAGCCGCTGCTTCCGGCGACTCACGTCTGGACCTTTTACTGCGATCTCGAGACCTCGACCGTCTCCTCTCCCGCCGAGACCGACCACGGGATCGAGACCGATCTAACAGCAAACACAACTATCACAATAGAACCGATGCCGCCCGAAACGACCGAGAAACTACATCACCTCTATCCTGGTCGCCACGATCCCTGCCACCACCACCACGACGCCGAGACGATCGATCTCTGGAACGAGACCTCGACTGACTTCCCATAAATGGAAGATTCTTGCCAACTACAATGATGACCATTAACACACTACAGCGATACCCTTCACTTTCGTACTACTGACCAAACCACACAGTCGACACTACCAGCCGAGCCCCCAAGGACTCTCATACCGATATTAGGTAGAATAAACTCAACATATCGTGATGAAATGGAATACACTTCTAGCACTACTGCAGGATAACGACGGCATTGCTGGTCATGTCCATGATGTCTCACCTTGCTGCTAGACTGCTTGGACTCGGGCTTATCGGTAATAACGTAATCCTCCTCATCGTCACTATCCTCATCACTACTACTGCTATTATCATCTTCTGCTGTGCGCAGCCAGTCAAGGAAGGGAGCAGCTGCACTCCGGGGTAAGGGGATTCCAGCACCACCAACGAAACAACAACCATACCAACCTGCAGCACTCACAAGCCTTTCCTATTGCTGTTTCCTTCATAGGAGAGCTCCTTGAGAATGTACGGATAGTGTGCTATTCTCGCTAGGTCAGGGTGCAGGGAATACACCACTCAAAAGTATCCTTGCGAAGACCATCCTTCTCCTTCACTGACGACTGTCAGTAACCGCCACCCTCTCCCTCAAGAGCCACATAGAATCGAGTAACGTGAGAGAACCTCCAAGAGATCTGCAATAGTCGAAGCTCTTGTAGGAAGTCATCACCAGACATAACCGAGTGAGTGGGGCCAAGTCCATTTCCTGTTGAGTGTTGTGGTCCGCTTTGTTATCCACAGCATCACCGTCACCAGTGACAAGATGACCACCAGTAAGAGAATAACAAAGTCCCCTACTGCCCTAAGGAGATCCATCGTCGCCAATAGAGTGCTTTTTCTTCTTCCTGCTGCTGCTGCTGCTTCTACTCTTCTTATCGGTACCACTACCCTCCTCCCCTGCACTATCCTTCTCATGCTTATAATGTTCCTTCTCAGAACTGATACCACGCCTTTTAAGGGCCTGAATACGTCGCTGTTGACCCAAGAAGATTCTGAGTGGGTCCGTACTCGTGCCACGTCGACCATATTTACAATGTTAGTCGTGGTTCCATTGCCTCTGCCTTCAACCTTGACGATCAACTTGGGCATTTTGTATCTGGAACTTCACTGAGGTAGGTTCCATATACATGCCCTTCAATCCGTCGAGGATGTTGTAGGGCACCACCCAAACTGCCCTTATCCCTACTACCTGTATGCCGGGTCGTCGTCGTCGCTCGGGATGTTCACCATGGACGTCATTTTCTAACATAGCCTGTATTATAGAAACCACTGCTGACAAGAAATTACCCTACTCATCGACCGCTCACTGTACAGAAGGAACTCCACCGACTTCGAACAATGCAACAATTCGCAAGTCAGAAGCGCTCGCCCAGTGAGACGTCCACCGCCTCTTCGAGCAGGACGGGTGGTTCAATAGTTGTATTTGAGGGCGATAGACCACTAGACCTGGCAACAACAGTACTCGAGGGACTCTGAACTGGGTGGTAGGAACATCTCGCGCATATTTTCGCGTTTCTGTAGCTTTTTGTCCATATATTCCTCCGGTTGTTCGTCTACAGCAATGCGGAAATGCTATGAACACGAATCGGTTAGGGATGATAGCTCTCTGCGCGAAGCCTCCTCGGCCTTGCCCGGGCAGCAGGGTGAGACCTCTGAGCTGAGTCATCCTATCCAGTCCCCTGAGCCACTTGGATCGGATGATGCCCTGGTGGTGGATAGTAAGGAAAAGAGGGAGTCCCGAGTGAAGATGGAAGAAGGTCTGCCTGTTGAACCAGCAGCGGCAGTAGGAGCCGTAGAGGGTGATGGCACTACTGAGGGGGCGATTGATACCGCCACAGAGGTTATGGCCAAGACCTCGAAACGCAAAAGTATGGCAATACGAGTAAGCCTCTATGGTTATCAGTCTCAGAGGTGATACCTTATATTAGGGTCCTCGTCGTGTCGCTGCTCGGCAATCGACATTGCAGTATATTGCTGTAGTGTTGGTTGATAAGTACAACACTGCCTATAGGATTGGCCTCCTATTCCTACTGGTAGGCCTCCTCGGGCATTCACGTGCCTTTTGTAGTGCTGACTCGGTCCTGGTCGTTGCAGATGCTCCTAGCATTCGTCTGTGGTATCCAGTGCTATGCTCAGTTCATTGTACCTGTACCCCCCACGGCTGAGGAGCTAGACACTCTTGCCCCAGAGACCCTCACAAATCCTCAACGTACACGTTATGAGGTCACCGCTACCGCCGTGGTTGAGTCTCTCATTCTCGGCCTCATCGGGTTGCTCGCACTCCTCCGAGCAGTAGTGGTGATCAAAACACTGCTCTTAAGCGACAAAGAAAAACTATACAAAATAAGGAACGAATGTAGAGACACCCAGGAATGTCAGAACCCGTCAGAATGCACCATCAGGAGGCGCATCATCTGCATGTTCACCACCTTTAGAAGCAACCTAGAAATGACAGGCGAGTGGTTTTGGCAAGGTTATTTTACCGTACAGATCCTGGATACCATATTACAGATAGTCCGTCTCCTTGAGCAAGGGGGGCGTTCTATTACAGGGCAGCAGACGCCTGTGGCAGATCGGGTAGCGATCATGACACAGGCCACTCTGATAATGTTGGTCATGTTGGTTGGTCCAACAACTCTAATACTCAACAACAGGGTTTGGGCCTCTTTATTCGACGTTATGGCCGCCTTCAGCTTTACTGCTGCCTATCTAATCATATCTGGACACATCATCCAGGTTGGTACATGGCATACTTTGCAATTTACCACTTTCACCACATTTTTATCAAGTCTCGTGCCCGCTGTGCTTTCATTGGATAATATAGTTGGTGTTGATCGATACCTTCTAGAGATCGCCAAACGCCCTGAGCTCACTCGTGCTCCGAGGAGGAGTCGTCTCCGCTGCTACATTATCGCCTTCACCATGTGGGTCGTTGGTCTTGGTGGCTTCATATACGTCACAATGACCCAGTTCAAGGGTGACTACTGCAGTGAGGTTATTCCTAGGTTTGATAAGGAGTGTCTGCTCCCGATTTACCCTATTTTGGATTCGGATTCATGTGACTGTCGGATGGCATCAGTTTATCTACAAGAAGAATGTGTACAGGATGATATGCCCCGCCTATCGCTCTACAACAGGATGGAGTATCTGATGATATCTGACAATACCCCAACTCCACCCACATCATGCACTAATGAACCTCAGACACTCCTCGATACTGTCTCTAAGTTTGGAAGCCTCGTAGTGCTCAGTTTGGTAGCGGTTCCTATACAGACCCTCAGCTTGGGAAAACTGAATTCCCTAGAGGTTCTCGTTGCAACAGCAACGCGTCTGTCGGTCGTGCCTGATGATGTGAACGAGCTGTTGCCCTCGATTCGCTCCTTCCAGTTTGAGCTCTCCCAAATCCAGGAACTGCCCTTCGATTCCCTCCAGCAACTACAGCATCTGGAATACCTCGGTCTGGCTGGTAATCCTATTTGCCAGAGTGCCGCCTTCCCCGAATGGACGGTTGGGATAGTTGAGTGTGGTTCTTCGTCTGGGGATGCTTGCCCCGTTGAGAGCTCCCTCGTTGGTCTATCGCAGTCTCTCACTGGATACTGCCGAAAATGGGTCCTGAGGGGCGCTTCGACTCTCTGTTTACCGGCTTGTACCGATTTCTATGCGCCCACCTATGCTGCTATGGATATGGATGGCAGCACTACGATGAGCGTTCAAGAGAATACTGTTCTATTCCAAATGTTCGGTTTGATTGAGCCAGGAATAGAGGTCACTACAACTGTGCATCACTGCATTATGGAAGCCTGTGGAAAGGAGGCGTCGGATGAGATAACGGCTCCTGTCGAGGCAGTGGTAAGGCAATCCTCTTGAGGACATGTCGTGATGTGCTTCCGTGGTGAGCGCTGTTTTTCCTCTCAGCTTTTCCTCCTTGGCGAGTCTAGCTGCGAAGCATGTGAATTCTGATGATTTAAATCACTTTGACATCAATCCTCAATGACTTATCATGCAACTTAATGTGTTGTTCACTTATGCTGGTGTCGCGTTAGTACTCTCGGGTGTTTTGAGCCTACAGTGTAGGGGTCGAATACAACTTGTATGAATCAATAAGTTGAAGCCTTTTTAACAGTGGCATCATTGATATGCATTGCGGGCGATAAGTAGAATCTTTAGACAGACCAACAGAGCATTTTAATTAGCGCTCGCCCCAATCTATCTATTCCGCAGTAACGCACGAAGAACTGAGTTTTCTAATACTTGATTCGTCACAGCACTGATGTTATTATCTATTCAATGCCATCTTCTCCTATACAGTCCACCTCCTCCCCTATGAATGGTACGTCAACGCTGTTATGCCTAGGCCCATACTTCCTTCCTGCTTTCAGCTAAGTGTTCCGTCAGTCCTTCCAACGATGAGATGGAAATGCCCGTGGACTTGAGGTGAAGTTACGCCTTGCAAATTCCCCTCCTCCACACGTCTATCAGTTCTCCTCGTACTCGTCTTGTCGTCGATAAACTCGGTATCACTCGAGAGATGCTGGATAAGGTAGGCCAGTTTCTAACCATACGTATTCCCTTCTCCCATCAGGCGGCGAGTCAGCAGCTGCCTAGCCGGGCCTTACGAAGTGGAGACCCTGAAGTAGCTGATCTATGGACCCAGGTATGATCACATAGAGCTGTGCTCTCTAATTGTAGTGTTCCTCATTGGGTAGTTAATGGCCGCCAAGAGAGATCACTACACTGAGTTGGTTCTGGCCGAGAGAGAGCATGTCACTGCTGAAGAGCTTGCTGAATATAGAAGCCTTCAAGAGTACCAGCAAGAGCAGTCGAGTAAGGCTTGGCTGGCCGAGTAGCTGATGAACTTGCATCTTCGTCGTGATTCTCGGAATTGTATGACTCGATTGTCAGTTCGTACCTCTCCACGGGCTTTGCGAGCATATCGAGAATCGAAATCTGCTGCTGGAGGTTCGAGAACACGAGGTGAGGACGAGGAAGAGGACCCAGCGATAGCTCGACAAAGAGAACAAGTCGAACGAACAAGTGAGATAATACTACATAAAGGCCGTATCGGAGAGGATAACACGTATCGTCTTTGCTGCAGGGGAGGAATTGAAGTCTGAAATACTAGGCATGATCACGAGTGAGCTCGCCAAGAAGCAGTTGGCTGCGGCAAGGCAAGCACAGGAAGCGAAGTTTGCCAAGAAGCTGAGAACGCTTAAAGAAGACCGTCAAAAGCTCAAGGAGGTGACTCTTCCGATGAGCCTCTCTCTCCTCTGTCCAGGATATGAAGGCCATACAGCTTGAGATTGATCTTATTCGGGTGTCGGTTAAATTGATATAATCTCGAAAGCCGTAGTTTGACCTAATAGATGGAACAAGGGCGCTAATAGTTGGTTTTGAGTAGGCTCGCCAGGCTGTGATGGATCAGAAGAAGAAACAACGAGAAGAGTTGTTACGGAGGAATCTAGAGGAAAAGGATCGCCTTCGAGAAGAAGTAGGAGAGCTACTTGTTCGTTGCGCTCTATATAGTACTCGCACAATCTCTGAGGTACAATCGAGGATTAAAAGTAAGCTAAACACAGTAGCCGAGCGGAAACAAGCTTTAGCCGAGATCAAGTAGTAGGCTATCGTCTCCTACTCATCATCAGAGTATTGACTGAGTGTATCGTGATGCAGGAAGGCCGAGGCGGAAGCCTTCGCTGAGAAGTTGGAGGAGGTGAAGGAGAAGATGAGGGTAGAGCGTGAACGGCTAGCCGCTGAGGCGGCAGCACGGCAAGCGAAGTCTGCGGAGAAGCAGAGACAGATTGAAGAGAATAAGGCCAACCTCATGCAGATGGTAGGAGTGCTTTCATCATCAATGCCCATTTGCCGGAATTCAGTTGGCGGACGCAGCGACAGTACGATCGATTGAGTTCTCCAAACGGCTGGCGGCGGCGGAGCGGATCGCAACAGAGACTGAAGCAAGTCGACAGGCATTAGGAGAGGAGGCCAAGAAGAGGCATGAGGAAGCTATAAGTAAGCAGCCTTCATATTATGGTGACGCTTGGTGACGACTGGGCTCACTTCTTAGGGAAGAATGACAGGCTGCGGAAGGAAGCTTGGGAAGCTATCAAACTCCGTAAAGCTGGAATGGATGATGGGAGAGGAGGGTATGGTTCTTGTAGGGAACCGCAAGCATGAGGAGGACATAGACAAGGTTCGAGAAAGAGCGGCTAAGGCGAGGCTGGAGCACCACCAGAGGGTGAAGGAGATGTATGAGCGAAAAATATCTCGAAAAGAGTAGGGTGTTGGTATCGAACTTGCGAGCGTCGCATCTTGTCGCAGTGCTGCTGGGGAGAAAGCTGCGAGAGAAGCGTTTGTTGCACGGCAGCTAAGACTAAAACGGGAGATGTACGAGGATCTGGTCAAAATCAATGCTGCTAGAGTAGCTAATCAGCATGAGCACATAAATCAGAGAAGTGGGTTATTTCTGTACGCATGTGTTTCGTGGTACACTGCTTTGTACATAGGGATGCTGAGGATTTCCCAGACTGAGGCGAAGTTACGTGATGTAGCCGAGGCGAAGGAGGCATTTTACCAGAAGAGGATAGTACGTACTTGTCGCCGTACTCTCTGGGTCATTGCTTTTTTGTCGTTTAGATGCGCATACGAGAAGGCTGGGCTGAGAAGAACAAGCTGAAGGCAGAGTTGGATAAGCTGAAGTACTGCAACAGCACTCGACAATTTACCAGGTGATCATCATCAGATTGGTCGTCTATAGGGTCAACTTTGTATCATTGTAGATCTGTTAAACGGCTAGGGATTACTCTTCCTGATACAGAGGATCCCAAAGCGGCTACTAAGAATGCTCATTCGTAGTCGCCGCGACATGACACATGTCCTGAACGCCTTCGTCTTTATCATCATCAGTTGTGTCCATCTGTGACTGGAGTGTCTTGTTGAAGTGTGGTCAATTGAACCGAGGTAGGTCTGCTGCGCTGCATCATGTTCTCGCCGGATTCGTGTTCGTCGCCCTCAATGGAGATGGAATTAAACTCCCAACTTCCAGCGGCTAAACGTCTCCGTCTGTCTTCCTCGTCCGGCACGAGTCTGTCTGGGAGTGGGAGGAGGAGCGACAGTAGCCTTCAGTCGAGATGGGTGGAGCATCGGTGCTCGGATGAGGTAGGGACAAGGCTCGCTGAAGATACTCTGGAGTGTGGCCTCTCGGTGGTTCTTTGTAGTTCCTGGCTTACATAAACTCGTCCATCACTCGGGCTACTCCTTCGTGTGGAACAGCATGCATCCTGGAAAGCACAGAACGCCGCATGAACCTAGCTAGGATGCTCCATCGCTGCCTCAATCTCATCGGCAGTGTGCACGATGCTCCTCTCTACTGCAGAGCATGGGAGATCTTTGCTAAGGTGAGTACAGGATCGGCCCGCTCTAGCCATCTTCTTGGTTCAGTCCGTGTCCCACCTTCACCCTCATTTAAATAGCCCTGAGGCTACCTCTTCTGAGGCATTCCGTGCTGAAGCCTCAGTCCGCGCGATGTGTGCTGCCAGCGTGTCTCTTGCAGTGGACGTTAGGTATGCGTGTCGTCCCTTGGTCTCCCTCATTCACTACTGTAGGTGTCCTCTGGACTCTCCACCATCGTCTTGGATTGTCACTTGGGGGCACTTCTTCTCGGGTTTTGTCAATTATGGCGACGCAAATGTCAACTCAAAGGCTTTCCTCGTCAAGAACGAGGAGGATTGCAGGAAAGGCAGTGAGCGATCCAAAGCGCTCATGCGTCTCAAGGTGGTCCTCATCTGCTCTCGCCATCCTCCACTACACTATAGTGACTATAGCTCTTCATCGTCTAAGAATATCCATTCTGATCGTTGGAGTAGGCTCGGCTAAGACAGTATAACGTGCTCATCTGTACTTAGCCCACCCTTAACTGGGCAGCTATCGGGTATAGATGTTTCAGGTTGTGCTAAGTAGCTCCATATTCGATTGGAACCTCGACGGCACTGCTACAGTGGCAGACTGCCTCAGGATATGCTACGATCGATTCATACTAGCTCTACCCGAGCTTGCTCCCGACTGCTTTTCTTGGTTCAACGCAGGAGCTGTCCTCAGGTGCGGCCTGATGGTCTTATATCCTTCGTCATAATGTTGTCAGATCCTGTCAAAGCCTATCTATTATAGCCTCTCTGGCCCTCACAGGTTCTGATGGCCCCGTTGGAGAGGACGAGGAAAATGTTCGAAGCTGTGCTGCCAACCATGTAGCGCTGGCCGTTTTAGCACTCGTGAGGAGATGGGGTATCAGTAGAAGCTCGGGTGATCGTTGCAGCAGGTCACCTCATACGCATCGAATTCGTTCGTTGACTCCGCGGCCCGTCCAATGATGGCGGCCATCCCTGATCTCTCTGGCGTTAGCTCGCTTCTTACAAAAGGTCCTCCGCTCAACTGCCGCCGTGCAAAGTAATCTTACATTTATCAGGAATACCCCTCTTGAATGCGTACCTGACGTCGTGTGATGAGGAGAAGATTGCCATCGTGGGAGCCCTAGCCACCGCTGCTGGTAGGTTTTCATAGGTCTTTGCAACCGCTGATGCCATTGTGACAGGTTGCTTCGTGTCCGATTTGATCCGCATAGTAAATGCGGTATGGAACGGGTCTAATGTGAAGCATGCGTTGATGATGGTAGATGCTCTTGCTGAGGAACATCAGTTGTACAGTCGTGCGGGAAACACAGGGCGCTGCGTACAGTCATCCCATTCTTGTGCAGGGAGGATATGTCATTGCTCAGATACTACCAGAAATTCAGAGTTCACATGAAGAATTCCACTGGCTCGTCTATCCTCGTAAATAAGTCTCCCTTCGAGCTTTGAAGTCTTTCCTATTTGGTTATCAGACCATCCATACCCTCACATTCAGTACAGATCTCTCCCATCGGAGAGCCTAACTTTATTACATCTTCACACGGTAGATATTCATCACACTGTTGTTCTTTTGTGTTACGCCTCGTGTGTAGCCCCATTACTGCAGTCAATCTGCTTCATAGATTACCTGTCGGTCTTGGTTGAGTTCTCTCTGGTATACCAAGATCAGTTAGCGCCCATACAACTGTTCGTTTGACTAATTTCGTTACGCTGTACCTGTACAGACGATGTTGTACTCTGGAGGAAGTTCCTCCGGAGTACAGCGAGGAACGAACCGTCGGTATATCTTGAAACCACGAAAGCGCCGCGGAGTATCAGCGAAGGGCATGTCAGTGACATGATGTTACGAGCGGTGGCTGAACAACATACACTGATTCGTCCGACGAACTTCGTCGACGACGAATTAATCCGTCGTCGTCGGAGAAACATGTCTGTCGCCAACAGAGTGGCTCTGGCCGAGGTAATAGAACGTGGTCGGAGAGTGATAGGCAATGGATGAAGGCAACGGTGGATTGACAATAGATGAGATTCTAAAATATAAACATGCTGAGTAGATGTTGCAACTGTCGTCACTGTAACACAGTCTGCAGGAATATCTGATGTGAGAGCATCGTTATCTGAAGTGTCACAATCTTGCTAGTCTCTAACTTGGAAGGGAGTTACTCAGGCTTGAGAGAATACCAGCCGGGGAATCTTGTATCCCTTTGATATGATTGCATTCCAACTCAACAGCATATACATCACGTATATGGATAATGATGGTTGGGATTGAAACCACCAGTCTCTGGAGAGCTATCCTCACATAGCTCTTGGTGCCTACCAACGAGTTGGCAGACTAGGATACAATTTGTATCATACAAATGATTTATTATCACAATACACTACAGCTTTGCTGACTTTCCACGAGTGTCATCTCTCACCGACTGAGGACTAAAAACGATCTAAAAAGGTCGATGGCATAATGCCATCGACACTCTCTAGGACGGAAGCTAAAGGATCCTGCAGACGCGCCTAACAGAACAGTGTGACCAGGTAATCCCGCTGGTCCATGCTTGTATCCAAACAACACGCTGCCCGAATAGAAGACTCTGTTATCACTTCGGATTTCGAGAACCTTATGATCACCTAAACGTCAACGTGGAAACGCTTTTCCCAGATCCAGAAATATGCATTTACCATGAGGACGACAGCATCACCTCACCATAACAAACTTCACAATCAAAAATCTGGAGTCCAGATGGGGTTCAATGACGAACCACCTTCATCTGTACCATGGGGAAGATATATTCCTCAGCATACGACCACTCATTGAGACGAGTGTTATGGTAGAGCATAGGCCAGTCATGGAGCCGAGTAAGCGGAAGTGGGACATTCTCCAACTTATTCGTACCAACCTCATACTTATAAAGAAGGGCAATCCGGGACCTCTGGTGTATCTACACCTGAGAGATGGCGCTTCTGATCTCACAGGTTGAGATCGAGGGTCCGATTACTGCGAGCCGCAAACGTATACGTCCGGGAACGCAGAGAACGTTCCCGGGACAACCTCATTGTACGGTGTACTCGTCTGCACATACGCGAGGCAATAAGTGAAAGGAGTACATTCGCTACAAGGCCCACCACAAGCTGTGGTCCACAACGTTCATGCAACCCTCGGTGTTGCCCAGAAGTAGCGCAATATCATCGACGCTTATATGATGGACCGGCCGTTCATCTTATGTAGATTCTGCGTTCACCATTCTTGACCGAATCTTTGAGAGGCTCTCTCATTGTTTCTCAATGAGAAATTCTCATAGGTCATGTGAATCCCAATGGGATTATCCCATGATCTGCCAGATAGACAGGAAGCTTGAGCACACATGAAAGCATCCATGGTGGGCCACCATTGGTGGCTGATCCATCCGCTCGTCGAGAATCTCGACTCGTGATTGGGATCGAGTCATCCGATGTAACCGCGTGCGAGAGAGACCGTACTTGCGCGTGCCAGAATGATCGATTATGATGGCTATTTGCTCAAACAAAGTTCGGCTGCTGAATGATTTGAAACGGATTGCGTAGGTTTGGTGGGCCGCAGGCTCGCGGTTCACTTAGGACAAATCTTTTTTCCGAGTGCTATCCTTTGGAACACATTGTCTTGGGCTCTGGAACGACAGCTTATCGATCTACTTGCTGCGCAATAGCGCTTCTCCGTGTCCGAGATGAAGTAACTCGAGGATCGTGCACGACGTCGCTGTTGTGACAGAATAGTGCAGACATAGATGCCGACGTTGACATTGGTTGTATGTAAAACAGGCTCTTTAGCCTCGTTAAGAATCGGTACTCCGGAGGCGCAGCGGTTCGGAAACTTCCCGACACTGTGCAAATGTAGTCACTAGTAGTCCGAGCCTCTAGTTAATGGAAGAGGAAGGTGTCTGACGGTCAGACTCTGACCCACATACTGTTGGAGGAGCTCAACATGAGAACTGTCCTCAAATCTGTTAGAGCCATCGATGTATGATGATTTCATGATTTCGCCGTCACGGATGCCTTCTAAACTATCCGTCCAGAAGCTAACTAAAGTGATTCATCACTCCGAGTTCCGCGTGTTGGGCTCTGCGATCATACAACCTATAGAACACTGTGGAAACACTTGGAGAGATGTATTTCCCGAATACTCGGCCTGGACACGACTACGAACTCAGACTCTGGATTTAGTGAGTGATTAATTCTCAATTTATGAGACCCACGTCATGAGTTAGTAGGTTATAAGCGATATTTCTCGTTGCCTGCATGATAGTGTACGGTCCTTCGGACTCGAAGAGCTCTTCCCAGGGACGAAACATTCCGGGAACTCTTCGAACTCGGAACTCGTGAAGTGGAACACTAGAAAGAGAACCTTGAAATTCTGGGATTTGAATTCTCTGAACTTGGGATAAGATCGGATTTTCCAACGTCTTATTCTCATTCGGGTGGAATGCAGATTTCCCGAAAATCTCGGATCGGTAAACGGAGCACTTCAATGTGCATTAGGCTTGGACGTATTCTCCCTTTACTGTTGTAGCTTTTCAACTGTCTTTTACTCAATGCTTCACAGTTGCGCTCGCGGGACTCTTTTGAATCTTGGAGCTTCCCAACTTGCGAGGTCTAGTCTACGGATAGCCTCGACCCGATACCTTTCCGTATTCTCTCGACTCAACGGTCTGCACCACCCGAAGGTCGTCGCTCCTACTGCTACCGTTGTCGGTCAGCAGACTCAGCTTGAGAAGGACTTCCACTCCTATGGGATCAGACAGTCCTCTGAGAGGACTGTGATGAGGAACGTCACACCCAGTTCACTGTAACGCTACCACCTGCCTGGTTACTCCCCCGCATGCACTGTTGACAGGTATGAAAGCGCCCTTCGTCGTGAGATGGGGACAAGATACGAGCTGTGGAGCACTTGCCGTCTATAGTGGAGCGAAGACGGGCGGAGTCCCAGTGAGTGTTGGAGGCTTCCACTGAGTTACTCTGACGTGTGCTTTGTCAGGCGACAAGCGAATCGTTGATAACTCCAGTGAAGAGTATAACGATGAGATTTGGTGGGGTAAGATCAACCATAAGCTCAGTCCCGAGAGCTTCCAGATCTTGAAGGCCAACGCTATCAATTATCTGAGCGAAAGAGATGAGCTCTTCGTGGTCGATGGTTACGCTGGTTGGGATCCTGAGTATCGGATCAAGGTACCGCTTGGTGTTGGTGATTGATGTCGTGTTATGGGTCAAGTCAGGTCCGAGTTGTTGCTAGTCGAGCATACCATGCCCTCTTCATGGAGAACATGTTGGTGATTCCTCCAGCAGAGGAATTGGAGGCCTTTAAACCTGACTTCGTTATCTTCAATGCTGGACAATGTAAAGCTGATCGGTGAGCGTTGTGAAGGGATGAGCTTTGTGGTTTCTACGCTGCTGTTGTTAGTAACATCGAAGGGCTCACGTCGGACACTTCGGTTGCAGTGAATTTTAAAACTAACGAGATGGTTATAATGGGCACTGAGTAGGGCTGCTGTTGGGGTGGTCGTCGACAATGAGTACGTTAGGTATGCTGGTGAGATGAAGAAGGGTATTCTTACATTGATGATGCAGGCTATGCCGCACAAGTTCGGACAGCTGCCTCTTCACTCCAGCTGCAATATTCAGGTCATACCACTCCTCGGTGAAGTTATGCTTGCATTTATCTCGTGGTTCAGAAGGACTCGGTAACCGGGAAGCCGACAGACTGCACTTTATTCTTTGGCCTGTCGGGTACTGGCAAGACGACTCTATCAGCGGATCCATCACGATTCTTGGTGGGTGACGATGAGCATGTGTGGACCGATAAAGGCGTGTTTAACGTCGAAGGTGGCTGCTATGCAAAGGCCATAGGGCTCACCAAAGAGACCGAGCCAGAGATCTACAACGCCATCCGCTTCGGAACGGTAAGTGGCTCCTCGTGCTTGTGGCCAACGGTGCTCTGGCAGGTACTAGAAAATGTTCAAGTCGACCCACGAACTCGCGAAGTAGACTTCAATGATACTTCCATCACTGAGAATACACGGTGTAGTTATCCCCTAGAGTATATAGAAAATTCGCACATTCCTGCTAAGGTAAGACGGCTACCTTACATTCAGCGTTCTAGTTGCTATTTGTCAGATCGACATTCACCCATCTAATGTGATATTGCTCACATGCGATGCCTTCGGAGTGCTACCTCCGGTCAGTGTTCTCACTCCGGATCAAGTCCAGTACTATTTCATATCTGGGTATACGGCAAAAGTCGCTGGTAAGAATGCTTTTTATGCTAACCACAAGAAGCGGTTGAGTGATCAGGGACTGAGGACGGCATTACTGAGCCGGTCGCGACGTTCTCCTCGTGCTTTGGTGCGCCGTTTCTGGTATGGCATCCTACTGTGTATGCAGAGATGCTCGCCGATAAACTTCAGAAGCACCACTGTAATGACGGCAACATTGTACTGTAGTAGTAGAGAGAGCTCCTATATGTCAGGCTCGGCATTTCTATTGAATACGGGATGGACAGGTGGGAGCTATACCAACGGTGGGAGCCGCATCAAATTGGAGTAACAAGGCGTCCCTTCCTTGTCCACGTATAGTTAATTACAATGCAGGTATACCCGTAAAATGATAGATGCAATACATAACGGTACACTGAAGGGAATGGTGGAGGCTGGGGAGCTAGTGTCGACTCCTATATTCGGACTAAGGGTACTTGAGTGTGAATTCACTTGTACTAATTTCACCGCTTCCGTAAATGCTGTAACTGAGCTCAGATCCCCAAGTCCCTTCCTGGTATTCCGAGTGAAATCCTTGACCCTGTCAACGGCTGGAAGGATGAGGCTGCGTACCTCCAGCAGCTCCAGCGTCTGGCTGGTCTATTTGATAAGAATTTTGAAGAGTATAAGTCGAAATGCCCATCTAGAGTAGCTGCTGTTGGTCCGAGGTTGATAGCAGCAGAGGAGAGTATAGACAAGGAGGAAAGGAAGAGGAGTAATTCAATCGCAACGAACCCTGGCACGAGAAGGAAATGCAATTCCACCATAGTCGAGGATGAGGCAATAGTAATTTTATTTGGTGGAGTGCTATATGCTGCCTTCTCCGGTCAGATGTGAGGGTCATTGTATATCGTCGACTGTCCCCGAGTGCTGTACTTGGCCTGAGATCTTCATCATGGCAAGAGCCTCTGAGTACGGGTGATGGTACCTATCTACTATGGGAGGATTTTACTGCAATTGCAAACTGTTATTTTCGCACAAGTGACCTTCGCTACCCTAGAGTAGAGGTGCTTCTTCTTCATCGCAGTATACGATAATAGCCGTCTGCTGATATCACATACAGTTTTCCATCATTATAATGGGTGCCACCGAACGTGGTACTTCTCTATATTTTGAAATGGCACTCTACCGCATAGTTATCGTAACTGTTATTACGTTTTCGCCTAGTAGTACGATCACGGTAGCTCCTATACGACTAGGGTGTGTTATGGTGACAGTAAGCAGGCTCGAGTTGGAGTGCTCGCAATTGATCATCCAATATGTTAGACAATCGTGCTTTTCGTCGTCTTGTTCAGCTTTGCAAAAGATGCCCCCTGTTGCTGATGCTGTAAATGGCTTGAAGTCCCCTTCCTCACCAGACGCCCTCATCACTAGAGCAGTCGACGCGTTGTTGAATCAGGAAGGGGCCCATTCGATCGATATGGCCCTGCCGTGCATTGATATGGCCAGCTTGGATGCTCCTGTTGGATTCAGCATTGGTGGGGAGACTCCGGTCCCTCCAGCCATCCAGCAGCATTTCAGTCGGGCAGTGTAGGGGCCTCTTGTGGTTGCCAGGGAAATACCCTTTTTTGTTCGTATAGTTACAAGACTAACGTGGGGTTGCACGCACCCTTGTCACTGTTGTGGATGGCCGTAGACGATACCCTATATCTGTGGAACTTCTCTAATGGTTCTCATACGTCAATACGTAGGCCCGCACGATCGTTTGCGCTTATACGGTCATTGTCAACACTCAGGAATGGACGGTGTTGTCCTCACCTGTGCTATTGGGGCGCCTCGAGCTGGGGTCTTCGGGGATGTGGACCATGTAGGGTATGCGTTGAACATTGGTCACCTAGGGAGGACTCAGATACTCGCGGTTGTCACTGAGAGCACCGTGTCGATCCTCAGTCTATCGGCGGACTCTAATGGAGTATTATTGATAGATGTCCTTGAGGGAAACCAAGGGGGACGATATTCGGTAGTAGTGGTGTTGAAGACGTCATGGAAGAGGGCACCAATTGACGGTCAGGCTACCTTATCCAAGGCTGTCGCATCGATGGTGGCACGTGTGACTGTCACCAAAGGTGGTAGGATTCTATTGTGGGGATCCTCCATTGAAAGTGGCGTGTATGAGCTCGTATATCAGCGATCTCCTGGCTGGGTTACTAGTCGGACCTACCTTAGTCGGTGAGAGTGGATGGAAAGATACACCGCAGGGTGACTGATACCTTGATTGCCAGGCATACGTTTACGCGAAAGGGTATCTTCGGCCGAGCCCTGGGTTGGATAATGCCCCCCTCTCCTGCGGCACCGTCCACTGGAGTGCCTCTCAGAGCTGGTGGGAAACACTACCAGGATGAGATTTTCGCTGTTGGTGGAAGTGCCGTAGATGAGACCATGGTGTATGCTAGTGTTGTCAACGGGGATGGTAATAATACGCTTGGGTGAGGGCGAGTGCCGCTGCTGTTGTTGTTGTTGTTGTTGTTGTTGTTGTGTAATGCTTGTATCCCTGGTTCGGTAGGATGGCTGGGAATATTCTCCCTGGATGTGAGCTCGAACGGCCCTTGTGAGTCTGAGTGTCTCGGATGGTTACCAAAGCAAAGCATGGTGGAAGCCCTGGGGAGGGCTGGTGCCCAGGGAGGAGCGAGGGAGGGTAGTGCACCTAGGATTATGCTCTCACTGTATGGTTCATTCATCGTCAGTCTCCATCCATAGTATAGCTCCCATGACGGCTGCTGACGGCTCTGCCTTGTGCATGTTATTCACCACTCGAGGGGATAGGTTGGTAGTCCATGCTCATCGGCAGAAAGGGATCGTAAGGAGGCTACCCGAGCCGAGCATAATGAGTGTTCTCTTGCCAGGCGACAAACACACTATCTGTAGTATCGGTATCTCTATCTGGAGGACCTGATAGTCCCGCTCTGACGGCAGCAGGGCCTATGGGGAAGCGCCGACGTAGGTGCCTTGGTTGGGGGGTCGTCTGGCATGGTGGTCATTGCTCAGGACGACTGGGGGGCGACAAGCCTTTCCAACTGTCGCCTACGACTGATGTTATCTATTACAACAACGGTCTCACCTTGATAGCTACAGCCAACGATAAGTGCGTCCGTATAGGAGCCGTGGGTAGGAGGGCAGCAAGCCAGTCGTTTGAGATCATCACGCCATCGCTATCAACAGGCTTTGTTCCGAAGGGGGAGATGGACGCTGTTACCTCTGGGCCCTTTGCCGAGTATATTGCCACAGTGGAGATGCGTGGACAGGTGAGGGAAGCCCTTGTTAAAGTTGTAATGACAGCTCCATTGCAGGTGCTTGCTCTAGGAGCTGTCTCAGAGGAGGTCGAATCGCGTGGTACTGTAGGGCGCGGTCAAACCCGTCGTTGCTGGATCCTCACAACTATGGGAGTGAGTCCCCTTACAGTGGTACGTAGACTTGGTCTTTTTCCCCCATCACTGTCTCCTACCAGTTTTCCACCTCTGAGTATGAGTTTTCTGGTCCGGACGGCCTCACGACAGCCCCTGGGGAGTCCGCAGAGGAGGTCGCGGATTGGTTTAGAGCTCTAGCGGAGCGGGGGTCCATCAGTACTGTATCAGCTCATATGTGGGATTGGTAGTGCATGTGTAGTCTGCTGACAATGGTAATGTGCTTGCGATCTAGTTCGGACGTATATGTGGCCAACTACGCTTCCCAGTGTGAGCATGCGGCCCGTGCTGGGCGTATAGAACCCATGCACGTTGGCAGGTGGCTGAAGGGCCTTCTCATGTAATGGGAGCTGCTGTTGGTGGTACTATGCGATAGGGCGTTGGTAGATACCTCTCGTGTGACGTGTGGCCCATGTGGTCGAGGCCGATTCTGCGGCGTGCGGGCAAGAAGTCATCGAAGTCTCAGATAGGGTTGGGAGTCAGCGTCACATATGCTTCCGTCTCTGATCTAGAAGTCCTTATTGGTCGGCTCAAGACTGTTGGAAAATTCGTAAGCAGGCCGCCGCCCCTCTTGGGCTCTCTTACAACTCCCTCCCAGGTGGCAGGGGTGTGTAGTCTGCTGGAGAGGAGCCGCATTGGGGAGCCCTTCACATCGAGTCATTTACCTGCGTATAAACGTCGTCAACTGGTTGAGGTGGAGACCAGTCAGCGAGACCATACCATTGTAATAGAGCTTGACGCTCAGCGCACCCGAGCCATTGTGGAACCTCAACCTTGTGGTGCTCACTGGAGCTCTCTTTATCCCAGGCCCGGTACACGACCCTTGTTTGCTCCATCCGAGACTCCATTGCATTGACTTCGGAGACCCTATCGCTATTGGTCATACTACAAACGGGCATCCACTCGGGTTACCGTATCCTCAACGACCACAATAACGACTCTTGGATAGGTCCGACGACGCCCTCCCCCAGCTCCCGTTCATACTTCTATCAGATACCCTTTGCCACACGCCTCTATCGTCGTTGATCGAGGGTGACCAGCAATGGACCCAGAGCCGCTGTGCCTTGTCATTGCTGGCCTCGGCGGTGCTCAGGGAGTCAGGATGCTCAAAGGAAGTAGTTGAGGCAGTCTCCCGTCTGTGCCCTACTGTAAGGCTTCGTAACGTGTGAAGAAGTAGTAGTACTTGCTGGTCCGGTAGATCCTGGGTCATGTGGATGCAGCTGCGGTGACGGCCGGTCGCCCTATGGGAGCTGTCGAGAGCGATGCTACGAAGGAACTGCTGGTAGTCTTGGCTTCAACTGTGGCCTTATTGAAAGTATCTACTCTACTACAGGTTTCACATCTATCTACTATACTCTCCTCACCGGCCCTGCAGGAGCTACCGGAGTCCCTGGCTAGTCTCCGGAGGCTGGCTGCTTACGACCCTAAGGGAGCCTTCGAGCAGCTCCTTACGAAGTGCACTGAGGTGGTGCCTCTCAAGCAGTCATGTCTCCGATGATCCCTTGGGTTTCTGTCAGGTGAGTGAGAAGGCGCTCAAGGCAGTACTGGATGGTGCGGCTCCTCTCATGAGCAACGACGCTCAAAGCCTGACAGATGTAAGCTACTGAGCTACTCTACTGTGGTAAGGGCATCTATAGGTACTACACGCATGTGGTGAACTCGCGGTTGGAGCCTGCCCTCGGGCGCTCAACATAGTGTTGAAGCGAGTGATCGGTACACCAGGATTGGCTGAAGCCATTACCAAGGTAGGGGCGGCCTCGACTAGCTGCTGCAGACGTGATGTCCTTTCACCGAGCCAGATACCGTCAGCGAACATCATCAACAGGGTTATGCTGATATTGAGTGATGGCTTGCATAGCAAAGAAGCCCCGGTCCGAGGAGATCTTGTGATGGATCCTGTAGCCGCTGGGGAACTCCTACAAGCCGTATATGTCCTTCGAGGGAAGCATGTGAAGGCAGCAACGGTAAGGTACTGGTATACCCTACTACGCTAAATCATAATATGGCGGTTGGAAAACTCTTCAAACTTGAGAGTTTACATAGAAAAAAATTTCAGCGTACGATCGACACACCAGTAGATAGCCCTATAGATTTCCAATTCAACGATGTCAAGCTCGCTCTAAAATTCGGCCGATGACTCAACTAGGTTTGCTCTGGACATTTTTTGACCGGACTCTACCACTCCCACAGTACACTGTGGTTGTTCTCAATCGGGACAGTCGTATACAACGACATCGGTTTTGGCGGTTAATGGTATGGTGATGATGAGGTGCCGTACGTGACGGTGGTCGGCATTGACATTTAGAAGCCTCTCAGTGTATGCGTTTCCCGACCACAGGTGTTGCGGAGTCTATCGACTATCTCCTCCTCCTCCTCCTCGGAGGTGGTAGTAGCATTAGAGCAGAGGAAGCAATGGCTTCAATCAGCTGTGGACTGTTTAAGGGTGGCCAATGAGGAGAAGTCTGAGCTAGCGGTACGTAGTATAGACCACTAACGAGCTAGTATCTCAAAGTCGATCTCTTAGGTCCAGATGGGCTACATTCTCTGCACGACTACCTACGTCCAGCTACCAATGCTCCGGGAGGTTGAGTACATGCTTAAGCATGCTCCTAGTCATGCTGGGTAATACCTCTTTAAAAGGTTTATCAACGCGCATTTGTGACAGATCAATGACATGGTCGAAAGAAGCAACGGCAGCGAGTAAGGAACTAGCAGGGGAGCTCTTGCCTCTCAGCACATTGTAAGGCTCGTCTATGGTAGACCCTGGAAGGTATATGTTTTGTGTAGATTCACCTGGTCCAATAGGCTCCGTTTCCCGCAGTTCCAGATGCTATGTGTGACCAACTCCTTGCAGCAATCCGCTGTATCTTCAGACGGTAGGCTTGGTCGCTCCTAGTGGGCCCGACAGCTGTAGTGTGCAGATATTCTCCACTATTGGGTTACAGTATGCTTCCCCCCACCAGATGGACCGTACTGTCGACTTTCGGCCATGCCGTAGGAGGCACATGCACGTCTGAGAGTCGTTAGTCGTCGTGTGTTATAGGTTCCGCAAGCCAGGGGACCTCCTAGGGTACCTACTATATCCGGGAAGGGAGGTATCCTACTTCATGAGATATGATAATGATGAGGATGCTGTTCGGGAGAGTCCCCGAAGCAGTGACTTCGTTGAGGCCGCAACAAGGTCAGCCGCCTTGGACTGGCCGCCTGTAAAATCCCATGTGGTCGTTTTAAGGTTCTGTGGAGAATTATGCCAGATTGCCGAGGCCTGTCGCAATGGTAGTAGTGATAGTAGCATCATCCGGCTCGCCACTCAGGGGTGTATGAATGTAGATACAGTCCTTAGAGCGGAGATAGTGGCAGCAGTTCTGGAGTATTGCTACGCTCTCGTGAGGGAATATAACGGGGAACAGGATGATGACGACGACGAGAATGACAATGTGACGAGGTCGGCGCGAACTCCTCTTCGGAATGGCGGCTTGTCAGATACTGGCTATTTGTCGTGGAGTCGTTTATGAGTTCTGCGGCGTTTCCCTTCGTTCCTTACTGACCATCTATGAGCACCTCGAGAGCACCCACAGTAGAGGCTTCTCTCCACCCCCGTCGACTGATTCACCCTCCTCAGAGACCTGGCTTCGACGCATTCGAGACCACATGCCCTCCACCGCAGCACGATCACCGCTACATCTTCATCATACTAAGGTAGTTGTAGTAGTAGTAGAGCACACCTAGGGGTACTCGAGCAGCCTCTTGGTGCCTTGTAGGTCCAAACCCACATGAAGTTGGTCCTAGAGGCACTACGTCTGTGGGTTAGAGAGGAGGAGGACCGTCTGCTTGATCGTCGTCAAGGACTGCCCGCCCTAGAGACCTTCCATGAGGAGATGAATCACCCGGCTGTTCTTGCAGGACTAACGTAACAATAATGACGATCAGCGAGAAGCTATCAACGTTTCCAATGCTGATCTCTGTGCGTCCTTCGACTTTTCACCGGGTGTGATCGGGGGACGGCTCGTTGCACGTGTTTGATTATCCCTGGTCTGTTATTATTTGGTTTTCGGCTCGTACTCGTCTCTAAGAGTGTCGGTGCTGAGACAAGACATAATGACATCCTCCAGCTCCGACGCCACACAGGCAGCAGCAGCAGCAGCGACTCTGGCGGCCGCTTTAGAAGAGCAGGAACATGAGGAGCAGGAGCCTCCACCCGCGGATGGTCTCGAGCCTAATCATGTTCAGCTCATTCGTAATACAGCGCTGGGAGTTATACGTAATGGAGCACAGTTCGCTGAATGGTTACAAACTAAACGCCGTGGAGATAAGCAGTATACCTTCCTTTTCAAAGGGCTTGGCCACGACTACTACCAGTGGTGCTTATCGAACCCTGAGGAGTGTAAACGACTGGAGGACGCAGCACAGGAGCAACAGGCTGATGACGCTGAGTCGGATTCTGATGCTAGCAGTAGCAGTAGCCGTTCTGAATCGAGGAGGAGCTCTAGGAGTTGGGATAGGAAGCGACGATCCAGATCTAGGTCTCGCGAGGATCGTAGCCGGCGTCGTCGTCCGCGGAGTCGATCTCGTCGTAGTAGGCGGTCGGGCAGCAGCAGCAGACGGAGGTATCACTCGAGGCCTCGCAGGAGGAGGTCTCCCCCACCATCGTCGTGGCGAAGACGTGATGACGTTGAATCTAGTCGCTATAGGAGGTCTAGATCTCGTAGGAGGTCGCGCACGGCCAGGGGTAGGGGTCGAT